AAATTCCACAAATTTCCCACGGCTGAAATGTTGTCGCATTCTTCCAACTGATAACATTGCAAGTGAAATCGATTGGCTTCACATTCAACAAGCTGTCGCGCCCCGGAATTATTGTAAGTGGAAAGGATGTGGGACAATAAAGCCCAGATTTAGATGTATAAGAGATGTTTGACTATTTCCCCCCATGAATATGGCAATTGACAGAGTCACAATTGAGGAAATGCTCTTGATTCATTTTATACAACTCTTAAGAGACCCTTTGAAGCACAATTTCCAATGACAGTCATGAAGCAGAGAAGAAGTCATTGTCGTTTTGGAGAAGAAAGAAAGAACTTTGAAACTTGCACAAGATGGTTTTTTTTTCTTCTTCTTCTGGTGGGGGTGGAAATTCAACAACCACGAGCGAAGAGGGTGAATTTAAATCTCAAATCGAGCAACTTTTTCAAAGCTCTGAATGGAAAGTTTGTGGGGCGATTCGAGGATATTTTCTCCAGAGGAGTTTCAGTGGAAAACACAGAGAAAAAAGATTGAGAGTTGAACCTTCGGTGACGTCAGGGAATTTATTCGCTCGGCTTCTTCAACCGCTTCTCGTCCTTTTTCCCCCCCACTTTGAAAAATAAAGCACTTGCTGAATGGTGGCATTGATACTTTCCACGGTTTGGATGTCTTGTCAAAATCCCACCCAGAATCACTTTCAAAGCATTCAAACATATGAAATCAATTTCACTGACATTCCTTCAGCCTTTCACGAGGATCATCTCTTGTCTGTGTATGTTGAGAAACTCTCGGGGAAAAGCTCACAGTTTCCATGTGAATTCCTTTGATTCCTCAACTTGTCGCAGGGCGTGTTTCTGTCAAATGTGGAAAAGGAATGCGTTGACTTCAATAGAAAGGTATTCCAGGGATAGGAGCTTTGTTGAGAAACTTAATTAGGATCAAATATGAGAAAATCCTCCGCAGGTTTCTCCAAAATGTAAAACACTACAAACAAGTTATTCACTGCAAAAGCATTCGAATGTATACGTTTAAAATTCCACCTCAATGGGGTCACAAATTCTCCAACCACATGGAGGGAAAACATTGAGGGAAAGTTTCCACGTGAAGTACCGCAACTTCTTATTAGATTTGGCAACTTTCTTGTTTACAGGACGCTATTGGCGGTGAACTTTATCAGGAAAATCTCTGCTGGCTTTGCCATAAAGTCGTCACACTTTCTGAATTCGGACGATTAATTTGAGAAGCATTAAAGATTGTTTTCCCACCCTCGTCGAGAGAAAAAATCCATCGCACTTCAAGCATTTTACCGCAAATTTGTGGGGTTTTATATTTATTAAAAACTTTTTCCTCTCCCACGCATATTTATGCCAACACATCCAGCATGGCTGGGATGGATTTAAAGGGAAAATCTCGCCACATCTTTAATATTGGGAGGCCATTGCGTAATTACAATTTTGCTGGCAGGTTACTTTCCGCAGAGAGCGCATGATTTATATTATCCATGGGAACAGTGATTTGCAACACCTGATAATTTTCAGCAAATTTTCAATTATATTCTGCACAAACAAGATGATAACGCCTAATGAGGGTGATATTTGTACATTGAAGTCGTGCATTGAGAGAGCCAGGAAGCTTTAACAAGGATTTCACCAGCAAAGCTCTCCGACAATTACTTTCCACCCCCGAAGGAAAATGAGGAGCAAACGAGAGATTATCAGGTGAAGAACCTTTTAATTTGCTCTGTTTTCCACCAAATTGCCTAAGAGAGTGTCTATTATTAAGCAAAAAAGAAACTCTCTCTCACTCTTGCTTCATGTAAAAGCAATTCATGGCAGTGAAATGCAAAGAGTTGCTGCAATGCATGACAATTATCTGTGGGGATAAATGGTGTGCACAGGATGGAAAATTCCCAGGAATCGACACTCCGCGATTCGTGATATCACACGAATGAATAAAATTTAATCTCCTCAAATGGGGAAAAAACCCAATTTTTCCACTCTACACGATTGAATCATTTACATTTTCATCAAAGAGCAATTAATCTCTGATTTAACACCAATTTCCGCTCTACTTTGTCACTGGAATTTTTTTTAATCAGTGGGTTAACTCCATTCATTCCAGCAAATTCGCCTATTTGGAGCCTTATTAAAAAAAAGCGTTCCAATTCATTATTTTTAATTCACTGTAAAATTCATTCAAGCCCGAATTTTTATATGATTTACATAAAAAAAAAATTCACCGAATATTTGTGGAATATTTTATTTAGCACACATCATTATTTTCCACTTGTTTGAAAGTCAAATGAGTGCAAATTGAGGAAAAATAACATTGTTTTTGTACCAAAAGAGTAGAACATGAGCCATTCCTCAAAATTCCTATCGAGTTTTGGTTGCTCCTTCTCAACTTTGGGCTTCGAGGGTTGTCCGTGCTCAAAGGCTTCCTTCAGAGCCTGATTAAATTGACTCTGAGACATATTGAGCGTGAGTTTGGTGGTCTTTTCTGACCAGTCAAGGATTTCAGCCTCCTCTTTGAGGGTCTCAAAACGTTTAATCACATCGTCCAAGTCCAATTCATCATCTTCACTTGCGGTGGATTCACTTGAAGTTGTCACGAGAACGTAAAGCTTTTGAGACGTTTTCTCTTGGGTCAATCCGGCTCGAAGAACCAGAATGTTCCGAAATAAAGCGCGGATTTTATCGATATTTAAAGATGAAATTTATTTCCCGGAAAAATGACGCCTTCGTGGACTGTAACTTGTCTTGTTTCTATCACATTCTTGGTTTCAATCTCATATTTTGCCGTAACAAACACAAGCCCCGCCCATTTGTTTGCCCCGCCTTTGATATTAATTCACTTGAAAAAAGCAATGAAGCCTCAGCATCTTGTGGAGTTCTCAGCATATAATTTATCGCTTGTGGAAATTTACTATTATTATTATTATGAAATGGAGTCTCCTCTTGCTTGAGCATTGTCCTGTGGAACGCTGTCGTAAATCCACTTGGTGGGTACGGTTTTATAGTGGAAAATATTCGACAATGCGGCCAAAGTGATAAAGCGGAGAAAATTGGCCAATGTTTCCCCAACATCATATGATTTATGTGTAGTTTGTGGTTGACAATAAATACCCCGAGTATGTGGCATTCTTCATCCATCCTAACACACTATTAAATTTAATTAGAATTCATTCTTTGCCCCATTATCCCGGGGAATCCCCGGGTGGATTACAGAGGCTGCGTGGGGATTTTGCAGTTGGGGCTTTGAAAAGGGTGTCCGCACTCTTGTTGCGCTCGCCGAGCGGATGTGGAAATGGAAAGGGGTGTGTGTGTTTTGGAGGGGGATGAGAGACAAGGGAAAATAGATTTTTCGTGTCAGTCGTCCCATCACTGCACAAAACCAAGAGCAACTCATCCATTTAACTCTGTCACGGAACAACAAATTTATCGATGTTGTAGACACAGAGTATAAAATATGTTATGTCACCAGGCAAGAGGAGAAAGAGATACTTTGAGAATGTTATTCAATACAAAAGCTCATATCTCTTACCACCCGTCTTCGCCGCATTCAGCCACCCATTTCTCAAATTTCCACCCATCCCGTCGCCCATTCGAGGCTCCTTTCAACCCCAACGAGTTTCCAGGAAACAAATGTGCACGAGGAGCACCCCGAGTGTGCATTGGAGGCACGTAAACACGCTGTGACACTGACACCGAAGAGTAAATTGTCTCTGAAATTTCCATCTCACCCCACCGAGCTGACATTAAGTAAGTTCAATGGGTGAAAAATGTCATGAACACGATGAAAATTCACACTTTTCCCAACTTTGACGAGTAATCAAAGTTCCCAATTATAAATATCTTCACACCGTCACTGATAACAAGGCTGCGATGCAATGAAAGAAAGGTGAACGAAAGTTATATCTTATCTCGCATGCACGGCTTAATTAGTGCAAAACTTTTCCTGGGTATATTTTCATCGCCATTCTCAAGTGTCTAAATTTCACTGCTGAATTGTGATTTTTCTTATCACTGAAATTATCTCACGTCTTTTATCGAGAAATATGATATTTTTCTTCTCACAATATTTATACACATTTTATTGCACACTTTATGCGATCCGTGAGCTTCAAGAAGTTCAAAGACAGGAAATTTTTAACATTTCTTACCGAAACGTGTCGTCGATCATCACAAATATGGGTCAAATCAAGGGGGAGATAGTATGATCAGAAGTGTACAGCTCGATGGAAGTCTTGGAAAATGTTCAGTAAATTACAATAATCACTTCCTGAGTGCTTTTTTCTTGACAAATTGTCTCGATTCTTTGGATTTCTTTCCATTTTTGTTCTGGAAACAATCACAATAAGTCTTTTCTAGGCAAGTTTCTAGTTTATGTAACCAAAATAGTCATTTAAATGTGGAAAATGGTTATTTAGAAACCTTTCTGGGCGATTTGGACTCTTAATTAGCAATTTTGAATTCATTGGTAAATGATAATAAATGATTTTGTGATCAACAAAGTTTTTAAAGAACTCTTGGTAATATTTTAGTGTTTTTTTTTAGGTTATGGTCGGAAATATACTTTAAAAAAAGCACTTTTCAATGTATTCTTAAGGAAATATTAAATAAAAACTTAAGAAATCTAAAAAATTTCATGTGCTAAAAATGTTAGAATGTGGTGTACAGATTATAAAACGTATTATCTCCTCCTTGGATCAAATATTCAAATGCTATTCTTTGTTTCCGTGCCTTGGTTATAATTTTACGTTGTCTTATTTGTATTTAACAGATAAATTGAGACAGAGCATTTGACCAAATAAGAAAACATATGATTTTCAAGAGTATGTTGAGCAGGAAACAAAAAACTCATTTTAGTCTCAATCAAACTGTATTAGAATTCTTATCGCAATGAGAGGAATATATCAATGTTTTTCTATTTTCCTTATTTTCTTCCTAATCCTGCACTTAATTTACCTTTTTGCACAGCAAAATAATAATTCGGAATACAAAATGGTGACAAAAGTGCAAAAGTATATTTTGCTCTATGACGTGCCAACGTGGATGAGAAGACTTCCTATTGTGAATTTGGATGTTGAGTGTGTTGTGACATCGAATAAGACTTTCTTCGCCGATCTCAGGAAATTCGACGCAATTGTTTTCACAGGATCAACTGAATGGTTGGCTGAGAAGACTTTCCCTCGCGTGCGATCAGCGCATCAATACTACGTCTTTGCAGACTTGGAGAGTCCTTTTTACACACTCCACAGATTTTCCAATAACCCCTCATTGGAGATTTACAACTTAACCATGACTTATCGTAGGGATTCAGACATTTTCTGGCCCTACGGATTCATCAGCAATGCCAATGAATCTCATGTCAGTGATCTTGTAGTTCCGGTGTGGAAAACTCCAGTATATAATGATTATGATCGAGAGAAAGCTCTTGCAATAGCCAAGAAGAAGGGAAAAACGGTAGCTTGGTTCGTGTCTCACTGTGACGTTAAATCCAAGAGAAACAAGCTCGTGTCGGCAATGAAAGAACACGTGAATATTGACATTTATGGCTCTTGTGGTTCTCTCAAGTAAATTACATATAATCAATGCTGATTCTTGAAAATATTTTACTCATGTCTTAATTTCATTTTAGATGTAGTGTCAAGAATACAGAAAATTGCTACGAATTGGTGGAAAAAGAGTACTTTTTCTACCTTTCATTTGAGAATTCACTCTGCAAAGATTACTTGACGGAGAAAGTGTTCAACATCATGAAATACTACGTTGTTCCGGTGGTTTTCGGCGGTGCAAACTATTCACACTTTCTTCCTCCTCAATCATACATTGACGCCAATGATTTCGCCACTGCGAAAGACTTAGCGAACTTCCTAAGAAATCTGGCCAACAATCCTGAAGAGTACATCAAGTATTTCTGGTGGAAATCACACTACAAAACCTTGTCGACGCTCAAGTCTTACAACAATCTATGCAAGAAGCTTCACGAATTCAGTTCTGGAATCGATGGTGGGCAGTTTATTCGAAGTTACAAGAACATGAGTCACTGGTTGAATGATAATCAATGTGAAGAAGAGTCAAGAATAAAATTTACTTGAGAAAAAGTCTTGTCATCAATTTGTTTTTGTATACAAATCATCTCTGGTAAAAATGAGATTACAGAACATCTGATCAAATAGAGATATATTGCCTCGATGTGTTTTAATAGCTTGAAGAAGTAATATTTTTTTCAGTCTCTTCCGCACTTTGCTGCATTTCATATCGCAATGAGAGGAATATATCAATGCTATCTTGTTTTTATTGTGTGTCTGATTCTCCTGCATTTTCTCTACTTAATCCTGCAGGAGAGCATAAAACCTGATGATTACAGAGTGACGAAGAGTGTGCCAAAGTACATATTGATGTACGAAGTGCCGCCGTGGATGAAGATTCTTCCTATTGTGAATTTGGACGTTGAATGTGTTGTGACGTCGGATAAGAATTATTTCCCGGACTTGAGGAAATTCGACGCGGTGGTTTTCAGTGGATCCAAACCGTGGTCAGCTGATGAGATCTTCCCGAGTGTGCGATCGCCGCATCAGTACTACGTTTTGGCGGAACATGAGAGTCCTTTCTTTGCCATGCACAAGTTTTCCGTTGACATCTCAAAGTACAACTTAACCATGACGCATCGCAGGGATTCGGACATTTACTGGCCCTACGGCTTCATCAGCAATCAGAGCATTGATTACGTGAGTGAACTCGTGGCGCCGCTGTGGAAGACTCCAGTCTATGACTACAATCGTGCAGAACTTCTCAAGACAATCGAGAAGAAACAGAAGACTGCCGCGTGGTTCGTCTCGAACTGCAACGCTCGATCGAAGCGTAACGAAGTCGTGTCATCATTGCAGCAACACGTAGACATTGACGTCTATGGCAAATGTGGCACTCTAAAGTATGCGAAGTGATTGCTGAGTGAAGAAATCTTACTAAAACAACACATTTCTTGCAGATGTGAAAGAACGGACGAACAGCAGTGTTACAAACTAGTGGAAGAGGAATATTTCTTCTATTTTTCGTTTGAGAATTCACTCTGCAAAGATTACTTGACGGAGAAAGTGTTCAACATCATGAAATACTTCGTTGTTCCGGTGGTTTTCGGCGGTGCAAACTATTCACACTTTCTTCCTCCTCAATCTTACATTGACGCCAATGATTTCGCCACTGCGAAAGACTTAGCGAACTTCCTAAGAAATCTGGCCAACAATCCTGAAGAATACATCAAGTATTTCTGGTGGAAATCACACTACAAAACCTTGTCGACTAGAATAACATTGAATAATCTGTGCAAGAAGCTTCACGAATTCACTTCTGATGTGAATGAAGGACAATTTGTCAGGATTTATAAGAATATCAGTTCATGGTTGAATGATAATCAATGTAAAACTGTACCTGAAATTAAATTTTAGAATCGTCGTCATGTCTTTGGCAGATTGCTTAAGAGTTGAGAGACTCAAGGGGGGATAATTGTAGCTAAAATCTGTACACCAAACTCTTCAAACATTTAAAAAGATCAACAAGGATATTGTGATACAAAAACTGCTTCAAATCGCTTATCTGGATATTTTTCTGACCATAACCTAAACAAGAACAATTTTCAACATTAAAGAATAATAAATAATTATTAAAAAATCATTTCAAGTACACAAATTATATATTTTAAACAGTATTGATGTTTTTGGCGGTTGTTTTATTACTAAATCTAGCTTTATTTAGTCACATAACCTAGAAAATTCTTTAATGTTTTTTTTAGGTTAAATTAAAATAATTTCAAATTTTTATCCAAAAATATGAACAAATTGGTTTATAAACTGCTTTCTAAGCAAAAAAAAATATTGCCAATATTGAAACACTTCCACTTCTTAGGTATTTTTGCTGAGCTGTACACCACTTCTCACTGCATTATCTCCCCCTGGGAGAGACCTTTTGAAAATGTTCTCAATTGCGAGAATCAGTTGAAAATCGTGGCTGTGACAGTCGCGCACATTGCATGAAAGTTTCTTTTTCCTATTCTTATCACAATCTCACAAAGAGCGACTGTTTGATATCACATCAACAGATTTCCAGTTGGAATCTCACGCCTTTTCGAGCCACTCTCAATTCTGTCTCTCATTAGATTCCTTTTGTGATTACAGTCCTCAGCCTTCATTTACTTATTTATATCCATTCCGCCTTCATGCGTCTCTCGCACGTGCCCGAAAGCAGAAGAAGCAACATCGTCACAGGAGAAGAAGAAATTTCATTACGATTTTATTCACTTTTCCCTTTCACGGTTTTAACCAGCATTTTCATCATCCCCAAACACACACCAGCGTCTCTCTTTCACGTCCATTAGACGTGGAGGAACTGCCTTTTCCCCCCCCCAACACCCACACACACACACACACTTTCCCCACCCACTGTGGCAGTTTAAAAGGGAAATTTCCATTCTGTTTGTTGGTTTTTTTTCCTCATCTCTTCACTTTCCCAATTCATCTGCCTTGGCGCATTCTCAACATCCGTGCTTTTCCGCAGTGCTGCTTTTCTGCGCCTCATCCCGGCAAAGTGGAGGGAATTAAATACAATTTCTTGTACGTTTTTTTTTCTTCTCTCCTTCTTCCTCCGCCATGGCGTGCGTGTGTCACAATAAAAGAAAATCTCTCAGCACAACAAAAGTTTCACTTGGATTTTGGCACGGCAGAGATGAATTCTTCCCGTGCTTTTGCTATCACTGTCGTCAGGTTGAAAGGGAAAATTCCACCTCATTTTTCACGCGCCCAGAGACAAAACAAACTTTCACTCACCTGAATTACTGGAGTTCCACCCCTCTTAATTTCCGCCAAATTGCTGGCAATTAAAGAGGAAATTGACCGTCTCTAAAAAAAACTCCCCTCGAAGTACATTTTGCCAGGGAAACAGTAAAAGAGAACAGTAAACTTGTTAAATACTTGACTTTGACTCCCATTGTCACACTAAATAACTCTCAATTCTGAGAGAATTTCACAAACATTGCATTTCTTCTGCTTATAGCGAACATCTTCTCTTAACATAAGATAAACAGCCAGTATTTGAATTAGAAACTTAAGAGACAGCAGAAACACAATTTGAAATCTAGCCAGTGCTCAAACCATAGGGTAATGACGGGTTATTCAGCTACACTTTTTCACATCCATAATTTGTGATTTGTATACTTCAATAAATCATTTTTATTATAATTCATCATATTTACAAAAAATTTCTACAATCTCAATACTTTTTTTTCTTCTTCAAAAATTACTCCCTAAAAATCATCCTAATACTTTCCAACTAATTTCAAGATAACAAAATATCTCACAATAGAGGTGATAAAATATAAGAAATATACTTAAAGAATTTAAAAAATAATACGCAATTTCATATCAAATTCTACTCTCGCATCTTCGGCATGGATTTTTTTTATATATATAAAAAAGAATAGTCGGGCTCAAAAATATTAGCACTAATTTGGACAATTGCAGTTATGGAAGCTATTCACAGTTCTGTTTTTTTTTTCTTTTATATTGGTACAATTTCTGAATTGGCGTGCAGACTTTAGTAGACATTCTTTCGGCGCTTCTTCATGATGAAGTCCTCCCACTGTGCAATCAGGCAGGGCGCTGAAGGAGCTTCAGTGGGATTCACGTCGCAAAGCTGAGCAAGGGAAAGAGCTGGACGCAGTTTCGTGTGATTCTGTGCATCGAGTTTGGGACTCGGAGTGTTTCTGCAGAAGAACGACATGATTTTAAGTGTGTCGGAAGAAGGCGAAGTAACTCAATTCTTACCTTGGCGAGAGACTAGAACTCGTGAGACTGTCACAGAGCTCACTGATGGACTTGGCTCCCGTCATCTTCCCATAAGATCCGGACTCCTCATCCCTGTCCGATCCATCGTCTGTGTCGAAACTGTGAAGCAAGAGTACAAGTGTCATATGACTGTCCTACACCCTTCCTTCTTAACCCATGAACTCACTCGCCGCCTTCGTCGAGAAGGTCGGGATTTGACGCTCGCATGTGAGACTGTTTCCGGAGTTGCTTGAGCTCCACTTCGCGGTTCTTCATTTCGCGCAACTCCTTCTGTATCTTCTCCTCCACGGGCACATAACCACGTCGAATGGGTCGCCCATTCTGATCGCGCTCGATCACCGGAGGACACGTCTTTGCTATTGGCGACAGAAGGATTGGAGCTCCGTTGCTTGTCTGAAAAGGAAAAGCCAAGATCAGATACAGGATAGTGAAAGGTTTTTATATTCTTTATTCATTCATGGTAGCATCATATTTGCTCCACACTCCCCTAATGTATGTCTTTTAGTGACAAATTAATTTCAAGCTCTCTAGCTTCAGATAAAGCGGCCTTGATAGGTAAAAAAAACTACTCATTTCCCACAATTGCCATGAACTTACGCCCTGAAGTGCTCACAAAGTCATTTCAGAGCACTTCCGCGCGATCACACCCACTTCCTCACCTTCTTGTCCATGGGAAACTGCTGCTGGCTCCCATTCATGCGCCCGCGGGACGCGATGAAGCGCTGCATGAGGCCGCGCCGCGGATTGGGCGCCGGCTGGAAGATCTGCGGCGTGGACATGGTTCGCGTGAGCATCTCCGGTCGGCCGCTCAGGTTCTGCTTGCGCGGCACAAACGTGAAGGCCGTGGGCGTACGATTGTAGGGCTGCGCCGACCTTGGCGCTGCAATCTTGTCCTCCTCCTCGGCGGACACACCGTTCACAGGACTCGAGGATGTCGTGGACACGCCAGAGTCGTCCGTGAGCGCGATCGTTTGCGCCTTGAGCGGCTGAATGCGAGTCGCTGCCGCTCTGAGTTCACGCTCGCGCCTCACGACCTCGTTGATCTCCTCCTGAATGCGCCTCAGCGGATCCTCACGGCGCTCCTTGATGTCAATCAGCGGCGGCACGATCGGACTCTGCAGATATTGAGGATCATTAGCCACGCGGAAAATGATCAATTTAGCAATCCGGCATGCGCAACGCAAGGCATCAATTATCCATCACCTGACGCAATGTTAGTTGGATTTGTGGCCATATTTTCATATGGTTTTCGCCTCATTAACCCAGAAAAGATTGGAAATTGATTGAGGAGAGCAGAAGAGTTTGGGAAATGTTAGATGAAGAGATGCTCAAGATCACCAACTGTGCCATTTCATATACAATTACTCACTTTGTGCGGGAAATTGGGTGAAATTTTTCTCTATCTTATAATGCTTTTACAACAACCTTAAACGTGCCGTTCCACTTTTGTCATGTGGCTGAAGAAGTATAGAAGAGAGAGAGAGAAGTTATTGGTCAAAATAGAAATCTAGCAAGTCATTCTTCTGCGCTGTTCATGTTCTGGAGAATTGTTTTTACTACAAAGTCATAAATTGTAAAGAAATCAATATCCTGCTTTAAGCCCCGCCCACTCAAATACTCCGCCCAGTTTCACATTACTTTGTTGCGTTTTTTTGTGCGCGTGTCTTAGAAAATATCAGTTATATTGAAGGGCTTTTCATACAACAAACTAGAGGTTCTAAAAACTAGCAAAGATATTCTTAAAATCAGCTCAGGAGCACCTGAGTTGTGACTGTGTTTGAATTGCAGGAACACAACATTTCATGCCCTCAAAAGACACTTTACTTTAGCATTTTCCCAGCAGCATTAATTCAATTACAGCAGAGAAATTCCTCTTTTTTCCATACAGCTCTCATTGCATCTTAGCGGATGCTGAATACCCTTTTTATCACAAATTTCTTAATGCAATCTCTCTCTCAATCTCCCGCGGTAATTCACAAAGTGCCCTTGGCGAGCTCTCAAACATGGAAATTTCTCTGGGAGTTTTTTCCACTTTCTGATTGGGCTTCATCAGATGGAAAATGGCTTTTTTTTTGCCCATCAATATTGCTCACTTAATTCCTTCACATTCGATCTCATTTATATGTTATGAAATTCTCTCGCGAATGCCCGAATTAATGAGCAATCTCTGAGGGTAAATCTCGATGCCAATTTGTTGTGTGCTTTGAATGCCATTCGCCTTCGTGTGCAGCTGAAAAGTGCATTTTCTCAAGATCGCCAACAGTGTGTGAGAGAGGGAGAAAATGCGTTCATGAGGGAAGCCGCGGGCTTTTCATACCTCAAAGCTGGCCACTTGCGTCGGTGGGTGGAGTAAAAATTGATGAAAATGGATGATTGTTCAATTGCGAGAATTCCCATGTGATTTTACATTATTTTTTTTTGCGAAATGATTTGAACAAACATTGAAAGTCTGTGAAAATTGCTCAAGACATTGGAATGATTTGCCCAGATAATACAAAACATTTTTGCTCTCATTTCAACACGTGTAAATTGTGGTGGTATTTCTTTTCCTGCCTTCACAATTTTAAAGACTATCGTTTTTCCACGTGATAAAGCGTGTAATTGGCGGTTGTACGAAAAAAAATATATATATGAAAGAAATGCCCACAATTGTTGGGTGGAAATATTTTGCAAAATGCACTTCAAATGTGGGTGGATTTAGCAGAGACATGCCAGAGTGTTGGATGTGCTTTTATATGGAAATCAGTGTGAAAGATCAATTAGAAAATTGTATTCAGAATTGAAGGCGCGGGGAAAAGTTTCTCCTCATTTCTTCTGTATTCATACGATGACTTTTTTTTTCTTATTCATCTTCAGGCAAGAGAATTGCACTTGGGCTCTTGGTGAGAGAGATAAATAATTGCATAAATTGCAATAATAGAAATGCAACGCGGCGGAGTTGCAGAAGAAACGAGGAAATTCCATCTTTTCTTCTTTCTCGCCATTTATGTACACCTTTCGCCGATGAGGAGGAGGGTGAGTGACCTTTAATTTTCGTCTTCACGCCACACTGAACCACATTAACAGCATTTTCACTCCCATCGCGCAGAAATGACAGGGAGTCGCGAGAAATTGCACGGAGAAAATTGCCCCCCGGAAGAGGATGAAGAAGAAGAAGCGAATAGAATTGGTTTTCGAGTCATCATCATTATCGAATGGGTGAGACAGTGCATAAAAAGTGAGGCGTACCGTTTTGCCACAGTCGAAACCACCACAAGAATCCACATACACAACAAAAGACATGCAAGATTGTAAGAACGTCTTAGAATCGTGATATCGCGTCCAATCTCCTCGCCTCGCTGGATTTCTGAGCTCCGCAGACACCTGGACTGTATAATAATGGGCATGATTTGTAATTCAAAACACAGCATTAAGAACTCAAGAGTCAGGGTAAACTACCAGGGAAAGTTTTTAATTATCTTTCTGTTCTTGCGTTTTAAGAGCCCCAACTCAAGATCTTGCGAAACATTCTGAAGAATTGCGTAATTGTATAATGCAACATAATCAAAGATAGATATTTTGCAACTGTGACAAACATTGCAAACAATGAGAAATATTGAATATTATGTGCATTTTCTGCCAAACCAATAAATTGGTCAATAAGTGGGCGGAGCTTCTGAGTGGGCGGATTCTTTGGTGGAAAAACCATTATTGAGTGCAATTTCCTTATGACGCACAATATTTCCCACACTCTTGGCGCTCTTGTCATTGACTACAAAGCGATGCACTGATAAAAGATAAACTAATAACATTTACTCTTGCCACAAATGGTGTCACAATTGCTTTATTTTCAATAATTCGGTGCAATTGAGTGTTTGCGAGGCTCTCATAAAGCGCGTCACTGCGGGAAGTTTTATCACGTGGAATTTCTCTAATTGCCTCTTGAGCTTTTCACTCTCAAGGCTACGAATCCCCATCAAAAAGCGTGTTGCATCAAAATGAAAGAAAGCATTTTCATTTACTTGAGCAAAGGCAGAAAAAATGCGAGACAGAAAAAAAGAATAAATCATCGTGGAATGATTTATTTCGGTATGTTTATCGCATTGGATTGAAAAATTGTAACAGTCCAGATGAAAAGAAAACAATCTTAATTGATTAGTGAGTTGGAAAAAGAAAGCGAAACCCGTACAGTCGAAATTTCATGCATCAAAACTATACATAGATTGGCTTGAGACACTGCACGAGATCCACACGAGTGATCATGAGATTTTTATCTAGCCTCAGCGTGATTTGTGCTGAATCAAATCTTCTCGCGAGTCTTCTCGTGTGGCATTAATGGGCTGGTGATTTCAGCACGTAAAGATGAAAAAAAAACTTTTCTTATTCTACACTTCGTGGTCGCGGATTTATGACGTATTGTCTGAGACTTCTCGTCTCAGGAACTTCCAGCCAAACACAATTGCCCATTAAAAGAGAGTCTTCAACACGCAACCAGCTTCACAAAAGTCAATGTTAATCACATTGAATTAAATTGCATAAGTCAGGCAATCACTGCTCGCCTCCAAATATTTTAAGACGCTTTTTGGTGGGCTTCAGAGTTGACATTATGTGAGTAAATCCGTGGAGTGAACACGATTCTTAACAACTATTTGTAGTTTTATTGCGCAAATAGACTTGCTTTCGTTGTTATTTTCTTAGGAAATAAGCGGCTTAGCGTCTTTGATGACTTTTAAGAGTATTTTGAGAATTCTGGACCATTTTTATTATATCATTGAGAGCCTCGATAACGATTTCATAAGAGGAACTTCCCGGTAAATTACTCTCCACGATTATTTACTTTATACTTTAGTGGAATACAAGGGGGAGATAATGCAGTGAGAAGTGATGTACAGATCATAAGTGTCCAAAAACTCATAATCTTCCTTTCCTGCGAGCTTCTTTTACTGACTAAACATCCACTTTCTTAGGATTTCTTTAGAATTATACGAAGAAATAATAATTTTCTAGGTTATGTAATGAATCAAGAACAGATTCAGTGAATATATCGCTTTCTAGCACATCAATTCTTATGCTAACATCGAAAAGATCGCTAATCATTGGCAGAATTAGGTATTTTCATGCGAAAAACATTGTTTTTCTGACCATTTGATGTCAAGAAACACTGCAAATTGTGTTGAGATTGAATATAACCTCAAAAATATTGATTTGAACTTGAAACATGTTTATTCAGATCACTTTTTGCACGATTTTGACTCTGATTTAGCAATTTTGATCACCTAGAAAGCTTTCAATTGAAGTCTTTTATGCTCTATTAGTGATATTTTTGAGGTTATTGTTGGAAAAGACGCCCAAAAGAGCGATTTTAAGTGGATTTTGAACGAAATTATGTATGGATCCTTAAGTGGTGTACACAATAAGAGCATATTGTCTTCCCCTTGATGGAATATTTCGCAGCTCATTAGCGCTGAATGAGTAAAAAAGACAGTTTATTTGCATTTGACAAATATTGTTTGTTTCGAGGAAAACCGGTTGAAATTCAATAATAATAAAATCCCCTAAACTCCACATTTTTATGGTGAAGGGAAGAGCAAACCGTGCCTTTTTTTTGGGCCATTATCACATTCTCAAATTGATCGATTTTATTGTCTAGAGAGCGCGGCAAAATTGCGCGTTTTTCTATCAGGCAAACAATTCCAAAAGTCACGCGCGTTGTAATCAATATTGGAATATATATCATCAAGTGCTCGAGACAAGGTGAAGATTACTCAATTGCTGCATTCAATGACCCACGGAGAATGGCTCCAATTATACCCCGATGGTCCTCAGCAGCAGATTGAGTGAAAGTGAAAGAACTTCCCATTCCTCAGAAGAAACTGCACACACACACACACACAGTTTTCCCATCTAATGCCCAACAATTGAGTCATCGCCGCAAAAAGCAATGGTTTTTAATATCACTTTCTCTCCTTCGTCGTCAGAACATTGCCTTGTGTGCGCGTGTGTGTGCAGGAAATTATCTCTGATAAGCGGGTGTTTTTGCCCAATTGCCTTGATCATTGAAATCAAGAGTTGCGAGAGGTATTTTTTCCCACCTTCTCTCTCTGGCCATGACAAACATAATTACACTGTCATTTCAGTGGATAATGAGACATTTCACCCGCTCACGCCCTGCACTCTCTAGAGTGTGCCATTCATTCTCCCGTCACTGTAAACCATCAGCAAAAGCGATATTCGACTGAATAATGCTACAATTTCTCAATCAGACAAGCAACAAACTACTTCGCGCAGTCTTAATTGATTGGAATGCGAATTTTCGGTATGGTTCAGGAGGAAGAGAGTCACAATCAGCCATCATGATCTAATTGCTCAGTAATACCGGACTGAGTATTTTGCCACGATAAAGTGCTGTTCTTTTTGCCCTGTTTCTCTTCTTGAACACTGAGCCATCAATTATATGGTCTCGATAGGCGCGAACGTGAATGGTATTAAATCGCGCTTTATTTGCACACACCAACACATCAGCAAATGTGCGTTATCAATATGAGAGAAAATTGCCTTCAATCGCATGACACACTCACGGGCAGCTTTTCAAGTCTCTCTCCTCTTGACACTGACAAGTCATCAGATGATATTTTCTTCTATATTTTTCATTCGGTCAATATTTGGAGACTTTCTTTTCTCTCTCTCTCAACAGTCGGCGATTTGTGTGCCAGCGTCTCATCACTTTCCTGGTGCTAAAAATTGCTCAATATCTTGCCATCAATTTGAGCACCACTTTGCACCTCATTGTGATCTCTCAAGAGGCTGACAACTTCTCTAATGAGACAGCGGAAACACATGCTCAATTGCAGAAATCACGGGAAAACTGCAGATCTTCGCGGTGAATCTTCCAACTGGGCGGAGCTGCCGAAGGGGCGTGGCTCATTGCCACTTTGTCGCCCCTTGCACACCGTCGCATTGAACTTATTTACTGTGTTGAGGTGAGGAAATCTCACAGAGATGCGATCTCTTTGTGGTCTTGCGACATTTTCTCACTTCGCTCATCAATGGTTTTGTGACAGAATAAAAAAAAGGAAGGAAAGGTGTGAAGTTGAGGTCGGATTGTGAAAAATCAAGTGCAAATTCCGTGAGATTTTGTGCCATAAGTACAAGATCATCGGAATGAAAGCTCATTAATCACCCGTGCAAGATCGAGAAAAGAGACAGGAGAGAAATTTAAATTAAAAAAAAAACTACACAGCAGAAGAATTTGAATATCCACCAGAAAGATGAAGAAAGAAAGAGAGATGAAAAAGGTAGAAATTTTTTGGTGAAACTACAAGACTTTTTCGCGGACGCGTTTATCTCAAGTGCTCGTGAGAGTGCAGAAGTGAACATTTTGCGATGCAATCCACTGATAATCACTTACCTCAACGTCAATTTGCCCCATTTTTCTTTTTTGTCTTGCTTGTTGATCCGGTTGTCTTGGCAAATGTTTAATCCTAATGCCCGAAAATTGCCTTCTCTCTCTGTGTGTGACTTTCTCCTGCCGAAAAAAGACATATCCTCTCTAAACATATGTATTTCCCACCCACAATTCGCGAATGTGTGTGTGTTTATCTCTCTAGAATGTCAGATTGTGTTAAGTGGGGAGGAAAGGGAGAAGGTGTAATTAATGAACTGCCAATTCGCCTAACAAACTCGTTTCACCCGAAATTTTCCCTTTCTGCCTTGATTCTCATCAGCACAACAGCGCAAAACTGTGAATATTTATGGACTTTTGAGATAAAAGCGAAAGCTTCCCTCCTAAACAATGCAGAGCGACCCGGCAAAAGTGTAAAAATGTGTTGTATATGTATTTTTTTTTGGCAAAATCCACCAAGTTAATTTCCAAGGGAAATGATATGCGGAAATGGCAAGATAAATATTGGGAAATTTTCTCACAAACTCTCCGCGTGATTTGTCTGAGTGTGTTTCTTGTCTTTCACTCCCGATTGTTTGGTGTGTGTGCCGTTTTTTTTTTCAATCACTTTCCCCGCGACTTTCTAACGCGCTCTGGGCAATGAGAACAGCAGCCCGGATCCTCGAGGAATCGTCGCGCTGTCCTGATCACCGCACAGTCAAGGGATTCCCCAAACACAAGAAGCAATTTGCCTTACGCTTGCGCTCTTCGATCTTCGTACCGCACAATAATCTCGCGCGTTTCACTCACTGAACAATGAAAGACTGAAGTTTTGAGTCTCTTTGCCTTTCTGCGGCCCCACAGATAATTGGGCTCTCTCAGGCGCCCCCTCTCGTCATTTCTCTCGCAATCTCTCTCTCTCTCCGGCTCTCTGAGTGTGACTCAGAGGCCAGGAGGTATTGTGTGTCGCCGGTGAAATGGAACCGAGCACTCACCTCAGCCGCCTCTCGGCGGCATTCCGCACGGCTGCCCAGAGAGTCGCCGTTGGCCCAGTTTCGCGCCACTCGGCGCTGACCAGGTGAGTCTCCGCAGACGGTCAGAGTCAGAGGCTCTCTCGCGTGCCCCAACAATTGCCCGCGATCGGAGAGTAAATGCTCAAATCCAGCGATGTAGAAAACTCGCTGGATTTATTACGCGCTCATCGAATGCGATGGTGAGTTTGATAGATTGAAATATAACGTCTCTTGCAGCTGCAAAGTCTGCAGAAAGCTTATTTGAAGAGTTTAGCTAAGACACGCCCACTCAGATGCTCCGCCTCCTTGTTCTGATTCTTGCCGTTGAACCTCCAATAAATCCTGTTCGTCAATCGTAAGTCTTTTTGATATTATAACATGGAAAAAGACTACAATTTCAAACAATCATTTATGACAAACATTATTGCGCGTAGAAAATTGATCAATTACCGCGGCTCTCTCGCAGCCATTCCTGACCTCACGCGGCAATCTGTTGCACGGCTTTTGCTGTGCCTCTCGAGAGATGAATTTCACATCACATGAGAACGATCTCGGCGGCAATTAAAGTTATCTCAGAGAAAGAGAGAGAGAGAGAGAGAGAGAAATGGATTGGAAATTAATTGGCAGTTACAATTCAGTGACAATAAAACGTGTCGTTACTCTTTTGGTCTCCCTTCTTTTGCTGCCCGACCTTTTAGAACTTCCTGTACACTTTATGGCTTCTCTCGTGAGCCAAATTCAACACTGGTGAGGAAATCAGAAAAGCCACATTAATTGTCCATTTATTTGCTTCTGTTGCAAAAAAAACCATTTGCTGAAGAAATCATTTGTTGGCACTTCTTGTCTCTGTTCTCCAATGACGATTGCCTTCACGGAAGTTAGATAATAGATTGAAGTGTTTGAAGAGTGGAGATAGATTCTCACTGACGCGCAGTACTTTCCTTTGCTTTGGCCGTCAAAGTTTGAGATGAAGGAGAGATTGAAGTAAAATGTTTATTCATTATCAGAGAATTCATTTCTGCTTCTCATTTTGCACTACATCGACTGATAAGATTAAATTTTCTGCTTCACTACAGAAACTATTCTCTTAAATTCCACAATTATACTGCTTAACACCGTTTTCATAATCAGCGATGATGTTTGGAAATTGTATTTCTCTCTTAAAATAAAAGTTTACTATCGTCTTGAAGATTTCAGATGGAATTTCGCCCGGATTCTCGATGGCTTTTGCCACCAGATTCGCGCAGCTCTTCTTCATGTAGTCGAAGTAAAGCGTCGACAGGTTGAGTTCGTCGTAGAGATCCTTGATCTTCTGGATGCACTGCGGATCCTTTTTGCCGTAGCACTTTTCGAAGACCTGCCTTTGCTCCTCGGAGGCCATCTTGAGACACTGCACGGCCAGCCAACCGCACTTCCCGGACTCGATGTCGGTGCCGCTCTTGAAGGACGAATCCATGTAATCGTAGCAGTCCCAGAAGTCGTTGATGACTTGCGCCAAGTAGCCGATTTCCAGGAACAGATCTCGCGATCTGGCGAAGGCTCGCGGCTCCGTGCGTCCTGCCAGGATCATCACCATCCCGAGTTGAAAATAGTAGCAGAATGACGACTTTCCCTTCAGTATCAAGTCGTAGTTCTCCTGCGTGAACTTCTCGAAGCTCTCCCTGGAAATCTTGTCGTCGAAATGCTGTCCAAGACTGACTCTCCAGATCGCTTCGGTCATCAAGTCCACCAGACTGGCGTAGCAATCCAAGTGCGAGAAGTGCTTCTTGAGCAGAATATAAACGCACGAAATCAAGGTGTGACTGTCGTTGGTTGCTCGTCCAACGCCGACGACATTGTACCAGCATTTCTTCCTGAACCTCAAAGCACTGCCATCGATGATGTCATCAACCAGGGTCCAAGCGGTCATGAGCTAGAAGAAAAGCGTTAGAACCGCCATTTTGATTTCTAAGATCATATTTTCTTACAATTTCCGAAATGGCAATAAGATATCCTGTGAGTCTAAAATATTCTTTCGTCTGTCGCGATTCTATAGCCATCAACTGATAAGACTTAAATAGAGAAATCCCAGTGTAAACGATTCCACTTATTTCGTTATACTTCAACATCTATCGAAAGAAAGTTCATCAAGATTTGAAGCCATTCAGCACGCAAACTTAACTCACTTCCTCCAAATAATCCGCATCGTATTTCTGAGCCAAAGCCAATTCTTTCAGTTCGGCAACCACTGGAAAAGACAACGTTTCACTATTGCATTCGACGATAACTTCAGGCTACAGATCAATTTCTAACCAATATCGTAAATGACGCTCTTTTCTCTGTTCGCTTGAATATCCTCTAAATCCATTTTGGGCACGATCAACACTTCACTTTTCACTTAATTCACGACTAAAAGCAGACTAAAATTCGCTTCGGACTTCGATTTAATTTATACCCAAAATATCGTTATGCAATTGATGCGTTAGACATTTTTCTGACTCTTAATGTAAATATTTACTGAATATTTTGACCTGAAATCAATACTTTAACTACATAATCATGATTTCATTGACAGTTTGACGTCGACATTCTATTCGCATATATTTTCCGTTCTATTTACTATACAACATTGTCTTATCACTTACCAAAGAATGCGAAGAGTCAAGAGCATTGAAATCTTTATCAGCGAAGAAAGTGATGAAAACGTCGGTAAAACAAATTTTTGCAATAAATACAACATGAAATGATTCTATTTGAAGGTATTATGTTCATTTTGCAATTTAAAAACGTTCTTTTTTTATTTCATTGCATATATTTTAGTCTCATTTTTTTACAATTGTATTTTTACATCAAATGTACACTGATGCTTCTTAGAGCGATTGCAGACTTGCAGATTACCCTAGAATCGGCGCGGACTCGGATCAATCCTCCGTTGATGAGCTTGAAGTGTGTAAAGGTCAGTTGAGCGATAAGTCGTGGTTTATCTGCACTTTTACACACTCAAATGTGGATCAGTCATAATTTGTGGCTGAATTGGCGCTATAAACACTCAGAGGATATTCTTCTTTGTTGACACTAGCGCCACTTTAGCTTCGTGTTCTGCTCTCAGCTATCAATTGATTTGTTTATTTGGTCAAAAAGCGTGGAATTTTACGATAAAATTGCGAAAATGAAAGATTTTCTGGAGAATCGAATGATTTTAAGAGCCAAGGAAATCATTCGTAAGAAATCCGCCATTTTCTCCGTTTTGAGCTGTGAAATGTTTCGGCGAATTTCCGTCCGAGCGCGCTATCATCGAGAATCCCATAAATATCGGTTGAACTTTCGATATATCGAGTGATCAGTAGCGTTTCATAGCTCAACCAGCTGTCTTTCACACTCGCGCTCTCGCTTACCCTCCCGTGGATTATCAGCAAGTCTGTAATCGCTCTTAAATTCCACAATTATACTGCTTAACACCGTTTACATCATAATTAGCGATGATGTTTGGAAATTGTATTTCTCTCTTAAAATAAAAGTTTACTATCGTCTTGAAGATTTCAGATGGAATTTCGCCCGGATTCTCGATGGCTTTTGCCACCAGATTCGCGCAGCTCTTCTTCATGTAGTCGAAGTAAAGCGTCGACAGGTTGAGTTCGTCGTAGAGATCCTTGATCTTCTGGATGCACTGCGGATCCTTCTTGCCGTAGCACTCTTCGAAGACCTGCCTTTGCTCCTCGGAGGCCATCTTGAGACACTGCACGGCCAGCCAACCGCACTTCCCGGACTCGATGTCGGTGCCGCTCTTGAAGGACGAATCCATGTAATCGTAGCAGTCCCAGAAGTCGTTGATGACCTGCGCCAAGTAGCCGATTTCCAGGAACAGATCTCGCGATCTGGCGAAGGCTCGCGGCTCCGTGCGTCCTGCCAGGATCATCACCATTCCGTGCTGGAAGAAGAAGCAGAACGAGGCCTTCCCATTCAATATCAAGTCGTAGTTTTCCTGCGTGAACTTCTCGAAGCTTTCCCTGGACATCTTGTCGTCGAAATGCTGTCCCAGACTGACTCTCCAGATCGCTTCGGTCATCAAGTCCACCAGACTGGCGTAGCAATCCAAGTGCGAGAAGTGCTTCTTGAGCAGAATATAAACGCACGAAATCAAGGTGTGACTATCGTTGGTTGCTCGTCCAACGCCGACGACATTGTACCAGCATTTCTTCCTGAACCTCAAGACACTGCCATCGATGATGTCATCAACCAGGGTCCAAGCGGTTATGAGCTAGAAGGATAAGTGTGTGGTTGTGATTTAATTGTATGTGGCTAAATTTCCATGTTACGTCGTTTTTGCATTTGGAAATTCGCATTTGGGATCATTGTCCCCAATACATATGGTTTTTGGCCAACACTCCTCTTGTCTCTCGCTTTTTGAAGTGGAGAAATAGCCAAAAACTAGTTTTAGAAACGTAAAATTTCCAGAACACCAATATTTCGTAATACGAAATTTGTCCGAACATAGAAATTTTTAGCATATTAGGAAAAAGAAATGTTAAATAAACTTTTTTTCACATACAATTTCCGAAATGGCGATAAGATATCCTGTGAGTCTAAAGTATTCCTTCGTCTGTCGCGATTCTATTGCCATCAACTGATAAGACTTAAATAGAGAAATCCCAGTGTAAGCAATTCCATTTAGCTTGTTGTACTTCAACATCTATCGAGGAGAAAATTCATCAAGGTTTTGAAGCCATTCAGCACGCAAACTTAACTCACTTCCTCCAGATAATCCGCATCGTATTCTTGAGCTAAAGCCAATTCTTTCAGTTCGGCAACCACTGGAAAAGACAACGTTTCACTATTGCATTCGACGATAACTTCAGGCTACAGATCAATTTCTAACCAATATCGTAAATGACGCTCTTTTCTCTGATCGCTTGAATATCCTCTAAATCCATTTTGGGCACGATCAACACTTCACTTTTCACTTAATTCACGACTAAAAGCAGACTAAAATTCGCCTCGGACTTCGATTCAATTTATACCCAAAATATCGTTATGCAATTGATGCGTTGCTCGATTTTCATCCATGCAAAATATGTAAATCTCTTGCTGAATATTTTGACCCCAACTTAACCACTCACAACAAAAGTCAAATGCAAATTTTACACTTTATATACTTTGGTTTATTTACTGTTTTACATTTTTTTTCTTCTTTTTAATAAATGGAAATGATTAAAGTCAAGAGCATGAAACATTTTATCAATGAAGAAAGTTAAGGTTGAACTTATCGACACTTGTCGATACGAATTGCATGCAATTTCACAAACAACTTTACAACACAAAGTCAGTCCTTTCTTATTAAATTTGAATGAAAAAAAACCAGTGTGAATGAAGCTTTCTCTTTACAGATGCAATTGCCGATATTTTCTGAAACAAATAATGAAATGAGGTTATTATCAGTGATTTAAAAAACTGGAATTTTTTGGGTATTTTCTTATATACAAATATTCAATATACTTCCATGTTGAAACTATTCGCGGAATTGATGAAGATGTGTGCAAAATTTCAACACACGCACAATGCGAAATCAAAGATGCTAAATTTTGAGGTCAGACGTAAAAGAAACACAGGGAATTTTACACAATCTTTGTATGTTTTTCGTATTCGCTACAATTTCTTATCAAACACGAAAGTGAGATTCACTGATTTCACTGAAATTGTGTGCAATCAAAGTCTAGCAAGTTTGGCAACAGCGATCAAATAAAGATTCGCATTGAGTTAAGAAAATGAGTAATAAAAATTTTAGTCCTGACACGATTGACTGTTACAAATCCAGCGCATTTGAGTTTGCCAGCAACAGCCATGCAAGCATGCTGACTGTGCGTGTGCTGGCATGCGAGTGCGCCTCTTTATCAGAGTGTGTCAAGAAGTTTACTTCGCTCTCGTGTGTACATTTTGCCATCTCAGTAGGTTGTGTGAAAATGCTCGGGAAATCTCATAATTCGTTGTGAAAACACTCGCGCCTAGTCAATTGCATCCCAGTGAATCTTTCCAGTTGCAGGACGAGCTTCGAAAGTCCTTCCGCACTTTGCCATCCACACTCGCAGGTTTGTTCACCTTCGCCACTCTTTCACTTTCTATTTTGCCTCTCTTCGTTGGTCTCTATTTTGCGCCTAACGTCGTCAGTCGGAGTTGTGCAACGGCCGCCAAGGTCCATTTTCGTTGGCATTTCAGCTGCCTTTGTTTACCTCCGGAGTCTGGAATCTCTCTGTGTCAACACGCGCGCTTATCAGTGTTTCTCCGCAGATTACAAGCCCCGCTGGTGAGGATGCAGAGCATGACGTTCTGGTGGGACGCGTCGCTGGGCGAGTTTCTGTTCTCAGGATGGAGTGTCGTGTCCACGGGCGCCTTCGTGGGCGTCTGTCTGCTGCTCGTGTGCCTGGCCGTGTTCTACGAGGTGCTGAAGGTGCACCACATCTTCATCCGCCTGCAGAGCCTCCGCCGAAGTCAGGCGCAGCAGCCGCGCGCCCAGTGCGCTCCGCCGTCTGGCGAGTCCGACACTCTGCTCACGGATCCGCCGCCCACCGTGGTGTTCGGCTCGCCGCAGGCCAGGCGGCTGATCCAGCTGTCCAAGGAGGCGCTGGTCTTCCTCTTCCACACCACCCTCGGCTACGGCCTCATGCTGGCCGTGATGATGTACAACGGCTTTGTCTTCCTCACCGTCGTGGGCTCGCTGACGCTGGCCTACTTCTGCCTGGGCCACATCTCCATGCGCCTGCACATGGAGCACGTGCGCGCGCGCCATCTGACCATCAGGTGCTCAGAGCGCTGCCCCAGCGAGCCCAGGGCCGCCGATTCGCCGCACGACAGCACGCCAGGCGCCTCGGGCAGCTGCCACGACGACGGCACGCGCTCCACGTGCTCCGGCAGCCCGTCCAGGAGCAAGATCCAGGTGGTGGCCGAGGAGATTGCCAGCCGCATTTAATCTAGGACGACGTCTTCTTGGCCAAAATACAAGACATCATGTATTATATTTTACATTTGATATATATTCTATTCGACTGTGGTAAATTTGCGCGTTTTCACTGGCATGCAAAAAGGCGCGCAGAATCATCGATTCGTCGACGAGTTGCCCGATGCGATTCTAACCTCCACTCTCGTTCCGTGCTGTGAAGATTTTTCCTCAAGGGAAAATATGTACAGTCTGAAGCCAATTGTGACGGAATTTGAGGTGGAAAAGGCCGAGAGTATGTACGCGATGAGGGACACCAATCCGCCTGAGAGTCTGGCGGACAGTTTCCTGGCCAAACTCGAGCGCAGCATCAATATCGACAGGGTGAGTCAAGGTCGTGTTTTCCGGTGAAATCCTCACGTTTCGACCTTCCAGGAGAGTGATCTCAATGAGCTGGAGGCCAAGCAGAAGCTTCTGCTGGAGAAGCTCAAGGAACTGCGACGACAACTGACTCTGCTGCAGAACGAGCTTCCAATCTGCAGGAAGCCTTTTCAGCTGCCAGCGAGGGCGCCTTTTCCGCCGGATCTCGTCATCTCTGTCGATCCCGCTGCGATTCCGTACAGTCTCCTGCTCCTGCTGAAGAAGAGGGCGACTGGGTTGGCCTTCTTCGTGGACTTCTACACGCACTCGACTGTGAGTGAGCTTCCGGAGGAGGCCAGGAAGTTCGCCGATGAGATTCTGCGCCTGGGCGCATGCTATGGCGTCCGCGTGACGGTGATTTGGAAGACAGGCATGCCGAGCACCTTCCAGGTCACCGTGGGCTCCGCGGGAAGCTTCTGGGGCGAGGACAACTTCATTCGCTACTTGACGCGCCTCGGTGTGCTCGAGAAGCCCTCAGAGGCCGATGACGGTGTCCTGGATCTGGCGCACCAGCTGCTGGCGCTCGACGAGGACAAGAGAGAGCTGTCGAAGGCCGCCGATCGCCTCCTGGTCGCCCTGAAGAAGCAGAAGCCCTCGCGAACGGCAGATTTTGCGATCTACTCGGCGCTGAGGAACTTCAGGAACGCCACGAAGATCGCGAAGGTGGACGCGGCCCTCAAGGAGATTGAGGGACGCTTGTAACTTGGGTGAAAATCTTTAATCACACTGAAAACTGAAGTAAATTCTCTCTCTAACCATCACAAGAGTTTCACTACAGCAACTCATTCTCGTACTCCAGCAAGTCCTCGAAGATTCTCTGCTCGTTGAAGGACGTGGTGAAGTTGTAGTCGTCCAGGGGCGGCAAGTTGTAGGGCAGAGGCTCCACGATGACGTTCGGCGAGCTGGTGTTGATGAAGTAGGGAATCTCGACGTCATCCACGGGCTGAGGCACTTCGTTTTCCGCAAAAATCTGCCGAAAAAATGGAGTAGAAAATCATGGCGGCTTAACGGTCACTCTCGCAAATCACACCTTTGAATTGAGCGAAACATCTTCTGGGCACACCGACACGAGGCTCGGGGTGTCTTTGGCAATCTTCGGCTCCTGGCCGGCGGCCGAATTCCCGGGCGCCGCCGCCTTCGCAGCCTGAACGCGCGTCTTCGGCTGGCTCTTCATCTTCACGCGCCGCAGGAATGTCCGGCCGCCCGGCGGCTGTCCATTGGCGTTCTCGTTCTCCGCCTTCTTGGCCTTCTTGTGGCGCTTCTTGTAGGACTTGCGCGAGTCCAGCGCCAGCTCCCAGTAGCCGCCCTTGCCGCGCTCGTTGCCGCCGCGCGCGGTGTTCTTGAAGAAGTAGCCCAGAGACAAGTTGTGCCGAATGGAGCTCTGCAAGGGAAAGCGGGATGCAGGTCAGCGGATCGCCCATAATTCGGCATTTAAAATCGCTTTCCTCGAAGGAAAATTCAATATTTGTAAGTTAAGAGGATGATTTGGTAGATAAAAGAAAGGAAAACATCGAAAAAGGATGAAAATTTCGCAGCTTTTTGGGAGTTTAAGACGAGTTTAAGAAATGTTCCTTCTTAAAACCCCAGAAATACTTAAAAACAATAATTTTTCTAACTCTTGAGGGAATTTCAAAGGTGTTTCCGACGGTATTCCTATTCATTTTCATGCATGACCTGCAAATGACCTTTAAGGACGATTATTAAAGCCATAAGAAGAGCTTAAAAATATTTCAAGCAGGGAAAACATGGTCGCGCGACTGGTCGGAGATTGAATGAAGTGCAGGGAAAGTGCCCAGACTCGATGCCGGGGAGGATTTGGGCGACTCCAGCTCACCTGCCAGTTGGTGTTGCACAGCCTGTAGTAGGCGAAGCTGGACTGGATCCAGTCGTACACCTGCTGCAGCGTCATCCTGCCGTTCTCCATCAGGCTGATCCCGATGAGGTGCGCGTAGTTGAAGGGTGGCTTCGTCTGGGCGTTCATCTTGTAGTACTCCTCGTCCTGCCTGTACTTGTCGCGGTCCCTGTGACAGAGAGGGGCGGCATTAGAATTGGCAGTGGCGCCGGCGGCGCGCGTGACTCACGATCGGAGCTCGTCGAGGAATTTGTTGAAGCGCGTCATGGGAATGTCCAGGACGGGCCCATCGGCCAGCTGCATGTAGCCATTCTTCAGCTCCGTGAGCCAATTGAGGTTCGTGAGTTCGTTCTCGTCATCGTCGAACTGGCCGCCGTCCTCGGCCGGCTGGCCCGCTAAAGACGCCCCCGTGGGGCGCTTCCGGCCAGCGCGAGAGTCGGGTGACTCACTCTCCGCGCCCCTTGTCTCATCTTTGGCCATCATTGGGAGTCACATGGAATTTTCCACCCTTTTTGGCCACGCAATACGCAATTCTTCCACGCGCGGTAAAAACGTCTTCGCTCACAGCAATGGAGAATGCAAAACGTCCTCCATCTTGAATTTCGAATTATCACTCATCTTAGACGTGATTTTTCACAATTATTGCACTCTCCTGACCATTTGGCGGACACTTTTTCACTCGCACAACACTTTTTCCTCTGCCAGCACGACAATTTCCTCACACTTGATCGACATTTTCATGGCGAAAAGTTCTGCGAACGAGCGTGCTTTTCGCAGTGCTCAAGCTGCGATTTTCATCCCCCAACCGACACTTGGCGCCTCTTGTGCGATCTCAGAGCCCACAGGAGGCCTCACTTGGCCAGGAAGTCAGCACTTTGGCGTGGAAATTGCCTCTGAGGACGACTGAAGTGCCCACGAGCTGCGGTCGATGAATGGACAGGACAATGGCGCTACTTTCGTGCAGTACGTGGACGCTGGTCATTGTGACGTAATCAACCCCTCGCGGAACCCCTTTTGGAGCGAGAAGGAATGAGAAATTAGTCGAGCATGTCAATTGAGTTGCACCTGCCGCAATTTCATCGCCCATGAAACCGTCAATCGCTGCCTATTCACTGTTTCCCACGTGCAAGCGGACCTGGAGCGAGACCTGGAACAGCAATTGGCCATATGTTGAGGGAAGAAGTGTGATTTCAGAGCGTTCTTCTGTGTCCCGAAAGGACGGTTGAATGGCCGCAACATTTGGGTTCAATGCAACTACAAGAAGTTGCACGAAACTAACAGTTGGAAAATACAAAAATTGTCGTTATTTCGTGATTTTCGGTAGTTTTAGTTCTGATTTTTCTATTTAAAATCACAAATTACTCTTTTTCATATAAAAAAAAAGGATTAAATATATGATAAAAATATATGATTTCTCGAAGCTTTCCAGATCACAAAATCATCTCTTATGACTTGTCAATAAACTCAAAATTGCTAAATCAGAGTCAAAATCGTTCGAAAAGTGTTGAAAATCAACACTTTCCAAGTTAAAAAATACTATTTTTGGGGGTTTGTTTGATCTCAGTAGTGTTTCTTGCCATTAAATTTGTAGAATTGCAATGTTTTTTATCTTTTAGACTTGAGCATAAGAATTGATGTGCTAAAATGCGAATTAGTCACTAAATCTATCCTAGATTTATTACATAACCTAGAAAAAGGATAAATATTAGTATTTTTGCCTTGATTTCTGCATAAAAATGATCAGAAATCAAGATAATTTGTCAGTAAAAGAAGCACACAGAAAAGAATTGAAGAAATGCAATAAATCTCTGTGAGGACCAAAAGTTCATCTGATCATATTTCTTAAGGACTAATTTTGTCCTGTTTTAAGCTCTCCACAAAGTCTCATTGGCGTTCGTTCATACCTTTAAGTGCCTTTCTTTTCATGATCACATGAACTCTCGAGAGTGTTCCAACACTAATTAAACCGCATAAGGGATGGCCCTGAGGGCGCAGAGATGTGGAAACACCCCAAGATGTCTTGTGCTACATATAGAGAATGTAGGTCAGAGTGCGAGAGGCCGAAGCGAGGCTCGCAAGTGGCGCTGCGGAAGGGCGCAAAAAATCCACCACGAGGAAAACACCGGCAATAAAATTTATTTGAGATGTGGCAGAGCGGCAAAACCAAGGGCGGGAGGGAGTGAATTAGTCTGGAACAGGTGTCTTGCTCACTAAGTGGTAGATATTTCACCCTCCTTTATTGCTTTTTATTTATTCTCAAACTCCCCGCTCTCTTTTCCCGCCGCCGCCGCCGCCGCCGTCGCGCGATGGGAAACAATATTTCCTCTCGAACCCTTGCATATTTTCGCCCTCCTTTCCACCACCGGAGCAGAGGTGGGAAAAAAAAACACAGCCGCGGCGAATTTTACGCACCCCCTCAAATGATTTTCAGATCAATTCTCAACAGTAAATCATGGCTTTTCTGCCTGACAATAAAAATGTAAGAATTTTCACTTAAGCGCCCATCTTTTCACCCTCAACGACGCGATGATTTATTGGATGGAATTTGCTCTCAGCGAGAGTTTCACTTTCACCTGAAGGGAATGGTAAGATGAGGATTAGAATTTATAATGCTGCATCTTGTAAACTCAGGGGGATTATTTAATTTAATACCATCTGAGTTTATATTTGACAACGTGCGCGTGAACTTCAGGCTTTCCAGCAAGGTTTCCAGCCAGCGAAAGGTGGTTTTGCAGGTCGAAGGAGAAGAATTTGGGAAACGACAAGGGGGAGATATTGTAGCCAGAAAGGGAAAGAAAAATTCAGATAGAATTTTTAGGGTATTTATTAGCATAATATCAAGTCGTTAAGGCTTAAAATTGTTTCTGAAAAATTCTAAACTAAGTTCTTGAAGCTATTTTGATACTGTTTTGGATTAATATTGAAAAATAACATGTTTTTATTGACTTAAAACGCTGTCTTTAGGTTTTTTAGACAATAAGATTAAGAAAAAAGCAGATAATTGATGCAATAACAGCTTGAATGTCTGAAAAACTCACTTATTTCTTGGAAATCCTCCGGTAATTTTAGTCTAGATTCAGGAAATAACGTGCAAAGCATAGATTTCAGCCACTGCCAAAGTGCTCTCAAACTGACGTGAGATTGTGCAGAGATTTGAGCCACATTTTCCACCCCCTGGAAAATTGATGAGCTCGAATGTGAAACTTGCTCACCCTTGGCGAGAAACCATCCACTCACCTCATCTAATTGCTATTTATGACCGGTGGAAATTATTCATGGCGCTCGGCATTTGCATTTATCATCAAAATGTTTGCCTTTTAATTAACAATTTTATCTTCAGCGTCTCCCATGAGCAAAGAACGTCGCCAAGACCTTGGCCCAAGATGGTGGAGCGCGAGAAGACGCGTCACTTCTTTGGCAGAGATTAAAGCGAAGCTGCAAAGATTTCTCACTGACTGAGAAAATGACCTCAATTCAGAATTAAAGATTCACTCAACGCAATCAAATGCAAAATCATCTTTAATCAATCATCACAAGAGGCGCAATTTCCCTTCATGTTTGCTCTAACATTTGAGAAGCCCTTTGAGAATTCTCCTCCAACCCTTATCATCTTTCTTGGTGGAAAAGGTCTCTCGAATGTTCTTGTTCTCTCCGTGTTCATTCATTATCACGAATGAGAAATTATTTGAGGAGTCCACAGAGGGAAATGCTGTGCAAATTATAAGCCCAGAAAAGGGAAGACATCGAGGGACAGCCAGCGAAATCCCAGCAGTAATTTCGTCCTGTTTGCCGCCTTTTGTCGCTCCTTTGCTTAATTCAAAAATGCCAACTTTCCCATAAACTCTGATTGCTCTGCATTTGCCGAGTTCAGCCAACTCCGAGTCGTAAGTCAGTGAAGTCAACAGTTTTTGGGGGCAAAATGAGTGCAAGTAATACACAGTTGGGAGAAAGCAAATAAAAAATTGCAAGGCACGTCAAATAGTTGCCAATTGAAGGACAGAAATTTCCTTATTTAAGGCCAAAAGGATTACTAAAAATGCAGTGTTACTTCTTCGTGAATCTTCGACTCATTTTCAGTGCATTGCGATGCATTTATTTCATGCCATTTCAATGTAATTCGTTTCACAGAACGATTTTGCAGTTGTTCTAACAAATATTTTCTCTAATTATCTCTTAAAATTTTAATTATAAAATGATTATGCATAATTTTTAAAGGATCTAAAAGCGAATTTCTCAGCTGAAAAGCTTGCAAACACAAATACTCGATCTTTAATCGGATATTTACGGTTTTACGTCAGGTTTTATGATAAAAACGAGTGTGAAGCTGAGAAAACCTCCTAATTTTTGCACATAAGAGAATATTTAAAAATTGCGAAGGAAAATCTGTAGTCGAGATTAAAGAAAAACCATAAAGTATTCTTTAATTGTACAATTTTCTACTTAAACTCAACCTCAAAATCCTTTTTCTATCCATAAAATTACTTAAATTTATATTTCTTAAATTTTTCTCCCTAAAATTCTCTCTCATGTTCTTAAAGACTCTATAAATGATCTCCAAAATAGTTTAAATAATTCCATCATCGCTCTAAAATTTCTTTTTATACCTGAAACTTCCGCCAACGAGACAATTTGATACGGAAAATGAATTTTTCTCCTTCATTTTCCACTCTTTTTTCTCTCTAAATCCCACACAGAATTCTCGATTCCGTCTTTTTGGGCATATTTTCTAAGATCTCAATCTTGATCGGAGCAAAATTCATATTTAAAGCCCTGGTTTAGGGCTTAATAACCATTTTTATTATTATAGTCTCACCTGAATTTCTGGGGCAAAATCGTGTGTGTGTGTGTCCTATTTCTCCCTCCGCAACTGTGCTGCTCTGTGAAAGGACGAAAAGGTGGAGGCAATAAAACACACATGGTTTGATTTAACATATCACCACATTATATTAATATTTTTAAGGTATATTATAAAAACATTTGGAATTTTTTTTTTTAAATGTATTTCATGGTTTTTCTTGTATTCTTCCGTCTGTCGTCAATCAATTTTTTCACCTTCTCGTGTGATACTTCTTCACAGTGTGCTTAAACATTGGCAATTTATACATTCTCTCGTGGAGAATTCTCCTTAGTTTTCCTATTCTAAAGGTTCAAAAGTGGAGCATTTTTTTCTTCTGCACGGTTTTCCCTCAGGTAGGAAGGAAATTTGGGGGAGGGGAAGAAGGGCGTTATCAGCTCCAGTTGGGTGGAAAAGAAATAAAATTGTCTCTTTATGAGTGGCTGTCATCAGAAATGTCCTTTCTTCGTGTCGCCTTGCCAGAAAACTGTACAAAGAAAGCAATATTACACATTTTCCACTCTTTTCCACCTTCAGTGTTACTTACAAATCCCATCCAATCACATTAGTCACAATATAATTCTCTTATTCTGTTAATTTCTTTGCATTTTTCTTCTGTCTTCGACAATTTCTGATGGCGAAAAAAACTGATAAAGGAAGCTTTTTTTTTGTTTTTCAAAGGGTTTTCTTTCCGGTGTGATTTGATATTTATATCACAATAATGTTGTTTTGGTGGATTTTTATTTTACAATGAATTTTTTTCTGTCATAACGAAGAAGAGTTAATACTATTTTTTTTCTTCTTTTAATTCTCTTTACACAATTTTCTCTCCACTTTCATCAATTTAATCTGGGTTTTAATCGCAAAAATTGGCTTTGATTCTTGTATTTAACATTTTTCTCACCTTCTTTTGTTTCTCTGCAATTCCTTTTTCTCTCTTTCTCTCTCTGTGTATATGAAAAACATTGTTTATAACACGGCAAAAATCACATCACAATTATACTTAATAATTAACAAAATAACAAAGAATTGTTCTCAAATATTTTTTTCTCCCACTTTGAAATTTTTCATCTCTTTAAAATCTACTTAGTTTTTCTTCAGTTACATTTCCTTTTTCCTACTTAAAACACTTTTGTTGTCTGTTTCGTATAAAAAACTGTTTTACATTTAAAACTCACTTTTCACGTGTCATTTTATCAGTTTTTTTTCCTTCTTCTTTTAGTGTTTTCCTCTGCAATAATAAGGTCATAATAATTTCAATAAAGTAGTTTTTTTTTAATATATATAATTAGTTAAATATAGTACTTTTAATAATTATATTTATATAGTTTGTCACTTTTATATATTTATACTTATTTATTTACAGAAGACGCAATCTTCAGTTTTATGTTTTCCTCAGAGATTTACTGTCTTTTTCTCAAGATTCTTGTCTTTTATGCCAATAGAAAATTATATGAAATTCTTGGCGAATTGTTTTTTTTTTTCTTCTTCATTTATTATAACAATTTTTTCTTTATACTTATTCTTTTAATTAATATATTTTCACCTCACTGACAAAATCTTTTGGTTCCTCAATTCTTCCTAAGCCATTTTGATAATAAGAATAATAAAAAAAATTGTCAACCAATTGTCTAACTTTTTCCTCTTTTTTTTCTTACTATAAAATCTATTAACTAATATAATTGAGTATAAAAATGTTCCTACGGGGGAAAGATAATCAACAATAGGAAAAAGAGTGGATTTTCCTTGTTTCAAACAAAAAATGGAATGACTTCCGATGGGACAAATTGTTGGTGTTTATTATCTCGAGGAGTTTCTTCAATTAGATTTATTGGGGAAGATGTTGGGTTATTTCGCTTTTTATGATTTAATCTTGGAAGGTTTTTTTTTCTTCTTGTATTGTAGAAATTGAATGTGGTCTTTATGACTATTTTGTGCTACTTGGGCTCATTTTTCATGGTAACTGCAAAAAACTTATTATAAATGCAAACGAGACAATGTCATTCCTCTATTGGACTTCATTTGCTATACATTTTTCCCACCACAGCGATTTGAACTCGCGGATGAAGTTTTGCGTAAAAGAAAATTGCACTGATGATGATGAAAATTATACTGGAGAGAAGAAGAAGAACTGCGCTCTTGTGTTCCTTCTTTTCTCCCCAATTCAGCTGATGGTGGGGTTTTTGGAGAGAGATTTATCTATACGTGTGTAATTTCTGGCGTCTACAAGTGTTTTCTCCCATCATCAGTGCGCGCATTAGAATATTCCGTGTTAATACTTGGCATTGAGTTCAATTCCGCCCCTTGTTTTCTTTTTCATCCCTCTCACACTTCGTCGGCCGCATTTGCGCCACGCCGCCGAGTTAGTTGTTCAACCCGCAATCTCATGTATTTCTATAAAAGGTAACTTCACCGTCAGCCTCTTCCTCCTCGTCGTCGTCATCGTGACACAAGGCGCGGTCCGATTCCTCCGCTGGAACTCTCACCACAGTCTTCTGGTAGTTCTGCGACAGTTTATTATACTTGATTCCCGTATATCGATGGTAACTATTTTTCTGTTCGGCCGCAAAATAGAAGAAAAGACAGGAAAAACAGGCAATTATTTGATGCTTCACCACACAAGTGACATTCTATTAATTTCCTCCTCTTCACTTTGGCAAAACAGAATCGATATTTTTCTAATAACCCAGACCATTAAAGTGGCGTAGAAAAATGTTAATCAAATATTATTTGAAATCAAGGGGGAGATAATAATGTACAGATCAACGGAAGTTATTCTTGCATTATTTCATTCCCGAGTGCTTCTTTTACTCACAAATTATTCCAATTCTGTGGATTTCTTTTGATTTCAACGTAGAAAAAGTCATAAGAATCGTTTTTTTAGGTTATGTAACAAATCAAGAACAAATTTAGTGAATAATTCGCATTTTAGCACATCAAATCATATGCTCAAGTCGGAGAGATTGCTAATTATTGGCAGAATTAGGCATTTGTAAGCAATTCACAGCGCTTTTTTGCGATCTCTTGATACCAAGAAACACTGAAAAATTGTATTGAATTCGAACATAACCTAAAAAAAAGTGATTTGAACTTGAAAAATATTCATTTTGAAACATTTTTGAATGATTTTGACTCTGATTCAGCAATTCTAAGTTCATTTTCAAGTCATAAAAGATGATTTTGTGATCTGAAAAACTTCCAAACTGAGTTTTTGGAGATCTCTTAATAATATTTTTGAGGTTATGGTCGGAAAAGATGTCCAAAAGAGCGTTTTTAAATAGATTCTAGCAGAAATATCAAATGTAAACTTAAGAGATTCAATTTAATTTGGAAAATTAAGTGAAAACAGTCTAAAAACTTCAAGTAAATTTGGAAGTGTTTTGGAAATGATGTTCAGATTAAGGGCTTATTATCTCCCCCTTGTTTGAAACGTGTTTCTTTACTTAAGACACTCTTCGAGGGATGTTTTACAGGCGATTTACTATTAAAAAGGAATTCCAAAAAGAAGTCAAACGTAGTTTTTCCACTAAAATACACATCGAAATTCAATGCAACTCTTTTTAAAGTGAATTTTTCACGAAGAAAAGACATGTAAAAATAGGGTGTGTCTCAAAAGATCTTAAGAATTGGGACACATTTTGTGAATAACGTGAAATATTCCACATGTTTCATCGGGATTCTGTTCCCCAGATTAAGTGCAGTCTTCGAAAGGGAGGAAATTGATGAAAACACCCCCAAAAACTCACCTTCACTACAGTAACAATGAGGATAATGCAGATGATGAGCAGCAGCGCGGCCACGGTGAGCGCGGCGACGGTGATCTGCGGCGACGTGAGGTGGTTGAGCAGCCCCTTGGCCTCCGGATCGAGGAACGTGGACGCCGTCTGGCTGAAGGCCCCAAACGGCCCGCTCAGCTGGCCCAGCGACTGCTCGGCCCCAATCTGAATCCGCCTCTTCCCGGCCGGAGATGAATTTATGCAACCGCCTGGAAAATGGCAGAAAAAAACGCCCTGAAGAATCTCCAACAGAAGCCAGAGATTGTGGCTCATTTGTTGTGCAAATGATAATGCAAATTCACCCCCCTGAAGAAAAACCGAAGTGCGTGCCATTGAGAAGGTGATAATAGGAAAGTTGATTCTTTCCCGTTAAATATTCACAATAAGGCTTCGGAGAGAGGCTTATTAATTCGAGATACCTTCGCATACATATTCAAAAGCGCCTTCTGAGAGTGTCGCTGGCAAAAATCGGCTACGCGAAGGCCTTAATAAATTGAAGGCGTGCGAGATTACAAGGGATGATTAAGATTAGAGGGAGATGGAGTGAAATTGAGGCTATTTTCCCATGGTTTTCCACTGAAACATGTTGAATAGAAGTGCTGAAAATATCTGGATAAACCACTTAAAATTCTTATTCACTCCATTGGCATTCAAAAAGGCACTTTAACGTTCTTTTGTATATATTTTTTTCCTAATAATTCTGCGTTCTTGAAGCTTTTTCAACGTCGATAAGCAATTGATTTGAAATCATTTTCATTTATCGTATTTTTTACGGGTGTTTCTTAATTACCGTTGCCATGAATTAATAATAAATTACTGATTTTCTGGATAATATAATAAGAAATTAACTAAGAATCACACTTTCTAACGAGAAAAATTCTGTAATTTTCACGACTAAATCTGTATACAGGATTTGGGCCGCGATTGTGCGGAAGAAATGAAGAAATTGTGCAAAAACCTTAAATGGTGTCTAAAAACATACAAAAAGTCCAAATCAAGACGCTTTTCTGATGTAAATGTCTTCTGGACATTCCAAACTCATGATTTAATGTGGTTATTCTGGTCAGTTTTATGATTATAACAAGGATTTAGAGCAAAATATAATCCTTTTGCGCACATCTCTCTGCAATTTGCAACATCTCAGCTAAAAATTGAGATATCGCCATGATTTCAACGCCATTTGAAAGATTATTAAATTCTTTTTATTTTTTGTCTTCAGCAAAATATCTCGAAAATTGAAAGAAATATCGAATTTTCAACGCCAAAGTCAAATCTTCGCTATTCTACGCGTTTGCTCGCTTGACTCGAGAATGCTTTGGATTGCTGAATGTTTGACTTGCTGTGGCGCAATATTGAGTGTCGTGCGGGCCGTGCGTGACTCACCTGTGTCTTTGTTGCAGTGGCAACAAGTCTGGTCGTCGGGGGCTGCGTCGGATGCACAACAAGGCACACATTGATTATTGAGGCGGTCGAGGTGCAGCGGGAAGGCGCACGTGACGCACGAGTACTGGCCGGGTCCGCTGCACGAGCGGCACGACTCGTGGCACGTCTTGCACGTCTGCGTGGGCGGGTCGTAGAACTGCGAGCCCAGGCACTCCATGCACAGGCCGCCGTCCAGCATGAAGTGCGACGGGCAGGACGTGCACGCGAGCGGACCCGCGCCGTTGCACGTGCGGCAGTAGTGATGGCACTTCTGACAGCCGAACGGGCCCTTGAAGAAGCCCTCCGGACACTCCGGGTGGCACTCGCCGCTGGCCAGCTGCCAGCCCGCGGGGCACGTCACGCACTGGTCGCGCCGCGGCCCGCTGCACGTGTGACAGCTGAGGTAGCACTTGGCGCAGTTGCCGCGGTCGCTGTAGTAGCCCTCGGCGCACGTGGTGCGACACTCGCCCGACTGCAGCTGCAGCCCGCGTGCGCACACCGTGCAGTTCATGCGGCTCACGCACTTGGTGCACGTGTGCAGGCAGCGCACGCACACGCCCGCCTCCATGTAGTAGCTGTCGTCGCACGCGCTCACGCAGCGGCTGTTCTGCAGCAGCAGCGACGCCGAGCACGACAGACAGTCACGCTCCGTGGGACCCGTGCACGACTCGCACGTGGAGTGACACGGATGGCAGTGCCCGTTGTCCGCGAACTCCGCTGCAAAGAGACGAGAACACCGCATTGAAATCGACTCAATCTGCCTTCAATCTCAGGCTCATCTGGAGCCTTCTGATCCTGGACAAAAGCCCCAAAATATGCTTCAACTCTTCCGCTTTGGAACATAAGTGAAGTTCTCGACGCAATTTCCTTTTTTTCACACAAAATTCTAGGAGAAAAATAGGACCATGATATGGATTAGTTAGTCCTTAGCGTCATATCCCACTGGTTTTGAAGTTATCGACAATTGAGTTATCGATAATGAATTTTAACCAATTCTCAACACATTTTTATAGCGAAAGTTATTGAAATCAACAATTTAAGGACGAATTAATTCATATTGGTTCATATCGCAGTTCTATTTTTCCCGAAAATTGTGTCAGAAAGAAAATCATTTTGTCCTGGAGGTTGATTACCAACACTAAGACGGCGATGGCCGCAAATGAGGCTACAATAAGTGTAAATGCTGTAATTTTTAATAAATGTATGTAAATATAATTTGGTGTCGATATTTTCCCCGTAAATTTGTGTCAATAACAAAAAATTTCACCTCAATTTGTGTCGATAAGTATCGAAAACTTCCATCAATTTCAACTTCAAGTCTGATAACGCAGTAATAATTTTGCAGTTTCTCACTTGTTAAATGTGTGTGTGTGAAAAAATAATCACAATCTGTCAAGGAAGATTAAATGCGGCGCAAATGAAATACTTTTAGTTCAAAAAAAAAAATCTACAAATTTTCAGAGTGAAAAGGCGAACAACAAACGACCATCTCATATCTTACTTGGGCCAAATTCAGCACTCAACTCGGCACACATTTGGCGGAATGCAAGTGATATGCAGAATTGAAAATGTATATACAGGATGAAACAATAGAAATGCAATTTTCTCTAAATGTACAATATGCAGATAAAGCTTCCTCTTCACTTCATAACAAAAGCGCCACAGACAATTATGCAAAATTGAAATTGTACAAGAAGAATTTATTAGGGGTTATCCGACTTGTGAGCTGCGTTATGTTAATGTGTAACAAGAGAAGTTTAATAGGATATAATCAGGGGGAGGAAAAAAAGGCATTTTTATGCGATAGAAAATATCTCAACCCCAACTTCAATGGGGGTGAGAGAAACGCTAAAATAATCCGCAATCCTTTTTGCTGCGAGCTTAAATTTTCTATAGAAAGCAATTAAAGGCCACTCCATTTGTGGCTTCGGTGTACATTAGTAAACCCTTCCAAATGTTCCACGTAATTACTGCATAATCATCGTCGGTGGCGAAGAGAGGGCAAAAAATGCTTCACCTTCTCAACAAGGGGGAGATAATGTGCGGGAAAGAGTGTTCATTTGAGCTGAATTAATTGGAAGTCTTTTAATATTTTCTACAATGCGTCATGAACTCTAGTGTTGAGTTTGAATTCACTTTTTTTTTATTTTTCCAGCATTGATAATCACTTAATATGGTGATTTTGTAATTTCAGTGTAAAAAAAACAGTGCAAAAATGGAATATAACCCCAGAAATAAAATTTTTAATGAATTATAATGGCTTAGTCACACGAAAGAGCAAATAAACACGGGATTTTATCAGTTTTTTCAAGGTTTTTCTAAACCGAAAAGTAATCAAGTTATCAAGGTAATAAAATATCGTTTTCCAACTACATTTCATATTCATAATCTGAGATTTGGAGTAACTAAATCAAGGGAAAAGTCACACGCGATTTGAGATCCATTAACTTTGTGATTATTGAATAATTTCTCAATTTTCGTAATTGTTATTTAAATTTTGCTTTATAATATTTATTTTGGCAATATTATTGGCTTATCCATTTTGACACAAACAGAGAAAAAGTCACAAATTTGCCGCAAATTGAAATTCGGATTCCTCAAAGGTCAATTTCTCTTTTGGGAAATACAATTTGAACTTCTTTATGCCTTGCAAGTTTGACAGGCTAATTAAAACTTCATTCTCGCGCTCAAATTTCCTCCTCTCCTGGCCAGAATTATACGTCAGGACGTCATAGAGTGTGAAAAAATGCGTGAGAAAGTTTTGCGTAAAATGCGATATTATTTATTAGCGTCCCCCACGCCTATTTTGCTGCCCTCTGGCGGCGATATGTAGAGAAAATAATCAAATATTTTAATTTCAATGAAATATCCTGAAAAAATTTGAGTTTTAGTTGATTTATTTATTAATTTTGTTAGAAAATATTCAAATTTTAATTATGTGCATTATGAAAAGACTTCGTAGGCTGTTTTTCTCAGGCAAACATAACCTAATTGTAGTTAATTTGGGTTGAAAATTGATTTTTAGACAGTTGAGTAGTTTTAAGAAATGCTGGAAGGTATTATATATTGTGAAAGTGACATGAAGTGATGTACAGATGTCAGAGAATCATCTCCACCTTGGCGTCCTGATGAAATGCGGCGGTAGTTTGAGAAAGTTCGTCATTTCCGCGCCAGAATGGAACAATCAGATGAATCACGGGCTCATAAATAGGTTAAACGATGCAACAAGTGATTCTCTCCACTAATGACATTGCCAGAGTATCTTTGGAAATTAAATCAACACGTGCAGGTGTTGATCAGGCGACTCGACAGTTATGAATTCAATTATTTCCACTCCTGTCATCATTAAAAAATCCCTTTTGCCGGTCGCTTCGCCATGAAATATTCAAATGCACAAGACAGAAAGCACCGAAAGCACAGATTAAATAGATTTTGGCGGAGCAAATTTTGCAATTAACAACGAGAAAATGCGACTTTGTCGCCAGACATCCACTAAAACACCTTTTTGATGAATATTTCACTAAAACAGAACGTCGACTTTGGCTGTTGTTAAGTGGAAAATTACTCGCTTCGAGCGCTAAATATTTCAACAAGAAGAATTAGTCTGCAAAGGATATTGATTATCCTCTATCTTTGTTTTGCATCCGCTTTCGAAGGAAAAAAAATTCCTCTCTCAGCACATAAAACTCTCAAGTTTTACATCTCATTTTCTATTTAGATATGTAATTCTTTTTAGCCCCAGACAAGCCAAACTGATGGAAATATATATAAAGTTTTCCACATGCAAGAGAAATTTCCGCTCATGGAGAGGAATTTTTATTCTACTGGCAATTTTATCGCTTGCATTTCGCCTCGGAAGAGCAAAAATTACAGAGAATGTCAGAATTTTGAGTGAAAGTTCTCATTTTTATGAACAACACTCAGTTAAAATGAAGCGGCAGATTATGTGAAATTACTCAATTTTACTTTGTATAATTTATTCTGTTTGCAATTGAAGTAGTTAAAACATGTGCCAAAAGCAGCAAAATTGAATATTTTCACCATTTCGGGGAGGTTTTTTCAATGGGTTTTTTACTTATCTAAATCAACGGGTGAATCGAAAAACTGTGAAAAGGAAATTTTTCATAATTTACGTTTTATATATTTTTGGATTGTTTTTTTCTCTGTTTACCTAATAAAAAAAATTGAGATTTGTTTCTTATGAGGCACTATATGAAAAATCAAGTTTTTAATGAAGTTAATGAAAAGTATTAAAAAATGAAACATTCTATAAAACCATCAACGGATGTTTGAGTTTAAATTCAGCAAATTTCGCAGCGAAATTAACGTTAATTTTTCAATAACTTTAACATAAATTGAGCTTGAACACCTTTAAATACATATCAAATTTCATAGGAAAAATATTAATATAATTTACAGCACTTGGAAAATGTGAGAATATAATAATTTCTGTGAGATTCACAATTTTAGTGTCTTTGAGAGAGTTTTGGAGAATTTCACGACCTTTCCAAAACAGTAAAACTCGTGAAAATCCGTTGAGAATTGTGGCTTTGACAGGTGTTTCAAATAAAACACATTCGCATCACACTATAATTAAATTGCAAACAAAATTTATGCTTGCATTTATGCTTGAGTGCATTTTCCTGTGAAAATGTACTCGTCAGACTTTAGCTAACTTTGCAATGTCTCTCTCCTCAGCATCCTTGTATACACTCTGTTCCTCATTTATATCTCAAGCTACTTTATACGATTGAGAAAGCTTTAGAAAAAATTACACGGAAAATATTGAAAAGCATCCCAACTTCAAGCCTTCCCACGCTGAGGCAAATTTCATATTTCTCGAGATAGAGAAAAAGAGTGAATTGTGTGTGTGTGTGTGTGTGTGAGTTTGCGGAACGGAAAAAATTCCACGACGAGCGAGAAAATAAATTTTGTTATCTCTACCGGAAATGTGGTAGCAAGTAGCAAGAAGTGAATAAATATTCTTGCAAATACACCTTGTGGGTGGGAAGAAAAAAAAGTCAACAACTTCCTCCCTCACTTTTTTCCCTCATGTCCCATCATCTCGAGTCGCCGGCGCACGAGGGGCGGCAGAGAGCTCCCTCGAGCTTATCTCACAATTCCTTCGCCCCGCAGCCACATCCCAACCGCACACACCAACCCCCGACACAAGGGAAAGACATTGTGGTGTACAGTTGTCTGCAGAAGTGTTTAGAAGTGGAATTGCTCGATTATTTGCAATATTAGGGGCTTAAGAACTGAATTTTTACACTATTTTCTTCAATGAAAATCTCATTGCTTGTCTAGGTTATGTAAAATCAAGGGACGAGTCACAAGGCGATTTTTGAGGAAACTTAATGTTCTCTAATCAAATAATAAATTATTTGAGAAAAATAATAAAAAAATGTATTTTTTCCCAAGTAAAATTGAAAAATAACCAAATTTTGAGTTAAATAAAGAGAAAAATGGTTATTTTGCCAAGAGAAATTACAAAAAATCAAAATAAACAAATTTTAGAATTAAATAATCAAGAAAATTATTATTTTCCAAATAGTTAATCACAAATATTCCGAATATTCACAATTATATTCAAATTTTGATTAAATATTCAGAAAATGATCTAAAAAATAATCATAATTTGTAGAAAATAATTAAAATTATAATGATACAGAATATGTCTATTTTAATAGCTGTTTGATTGATTTTCTACTCAAAAATAGCAAATTTCTGCTCTCAGTGGGACAATCGGTGGGTTTTCAAGGATTCTTTCACATATTGCAAGATTATTTTTAGGTTATGATCAACAGTCTATCTAAAAGAGCAATTCAATATTTAATGACACTTAAATATCCGCTAGAAACTTCAAATATTTCTCAAATTCTGCCTCTCTGTAAGTCTTTTTCAGAGTCCTTCAAGTAAAAAAATGAGTTTTTATGACAATTACGGTCTAAATTTGAGGTTATGATACTTTTAGCGGTGAGAAAAATGTATCAAGTTTTGAATAAATAGAGAAGAAACGATGGTTTAAAGTTCTGGAAGTGGTGTACACCGTTTTAGCCGTATTATCTCCCCCTTGGCCCAACACAGAGCACGGGAGAGACGGCGGAATTGTGGAAAGACTTACATTCATCGCAAATTTCGCTTCCTGCCGAGATGCACTTCCCCTTCTTGTTCTTGATCCAGCCATCCTTGCACGTGAGACAGACGCCGTTCGTGCTGCACGTGGCACACCCTGTGGCACAGGCCAGACACTCCTGGCGCTTCTTGTCGCTGTAGAATCCGTCCGGGCAGCTGTTCACGCACTTGCCATCGATGGCGAAGCGGCCGGGCTTGCACGTGATGCACTGACTCTCCGACGAGCCGTTGCACGTGAGACAGGAGGAATGGCACGGGGCGCAACTGCAAGATGGACGGGAAAATCCATTAAAATTCATCCCCAAGACCATAGAGCTCAAGTTTTGCAGCATTCGCAGGCGAGTGAGCATGATGAAATTTTAAATTACATCTCCCAAAACCGTCAAGCGCGCGTCCTCATTCATAAACAATCACGCTGGCGGGAATTTTGCTCCACTGCCATTCATTGTGATTTCCCCTCATGTCGTGTGATGTTAAATATCACGACATTATCAAATAAAATTCCAGCCAAGATTGGCAATAAATGATGATAAAAGTTTGTCGTGGCAAAAATACATCACACGCCATATGATGTATTCATGAGGACATGAGATGGAATCTTGTGTCGCGATGCAAATTTCCTCACAACAGTTGCGCTCTTTGCGTTCTTCAAGTATTTGCAAAGATTTTCCCTCGAATCTGCACATTTTTGTACTGGTTTAGGACATGTCCATGGAGTGTCCTCGGACAAGTTGATGGACAATAGAAGGAAAATACTTGTAATTATATCAATTTCAAGAGTTTCATGACAATTTTCAGAGTATTGACAGCATATTGAGTTCAAATTGAATTTGTCATAGGTCAACATAAGATTGTCTTATGTTATTCTGTAGGATTCTCAGATGACATTCTGACTTTTTGTCTACTTTTCATCACTATCGTGCAATTTAATGCGCAAATAATAATCTGCCAATTCAATGTGAATTTGTCATCAGAGTTTAAAATTAATATTTGATCCTTTTTCATTAAATATTTGCTGTATTATAAAATCACAAACACATAATGTCAGTTCTTTTCGCAGAAAAAGAGTGCAAAATGTCATCAAACAAAAATGTTATTAGCTTTTTGGACTTCAAATATAATTTTATCATAAATTAATGCATTGAATTCGCCAGAAATGTTGTGGAAAAAAAAATTTATTAACATGTAATGAGAACTGAATGAAATGTTCATGTGGGTTGTTTGTATTTTCACATCAGCGCATCAAATTAATAAAATAGATTTACATCGAATAAATTTTATTTATTCCCATTGAAATTGCATTTTGCAGTAAATACAAAATTGTACGGCTAATGAGAATTCAATGAAAGGGTGTAGATTTTTGGCTCTTTTCCCACAACAAAAGTAGGAAAAGTCGGGCGAGAAAATGGCGTGATATACGCAATATTTGTGGCTGCATTGAGAGTTTATTTATTCCCAAGGTTTTCCATCATAAAGCAGAAATTGAATTGGAAGAAATTCAATCGTGTTATCAAACATCAGTTCAGCAATTTTGCTTCTGTGTATTTTTTCTTTTGCCTCTCACCGCAATTACCCCGAGGAAAATGGGAAAGAAAATGCATTGCAATGGGAGGAAAATGTACAATTTGACATTGAATTTAATAAATATCTTCCTGCATTTTCACTGTGTAATATTCCACCAAAGAGGATTTCCTGCGAAATCAATTGTGTTGCAAAACGTCATTGAGGACATTCCTGCTGGAATTTTCCACTCTTGTCCAGCCCCAATTATATTGAACGTCTGCCAAGATTTGCGAAAACGGCGCAGGGAAATTTGTAGAGTGAAAAAAAAGTCATTTTTCGAGAATCATAAAATCATTGAAAATCTCATTTGGTCATTCGCAAATGGCATGAAAATTTAATCTTGTGTGTTAAAATAAAAGACCTCAAAAAATGTTCTCTCAACATATTTTCCCATTTATTGACTCTTCGCATCGTTAGTGTTTATTTGCACTTCGCAGTGTAAAGAGAAAAAGCAACATTTCTTTGAGATCTTTGTCGAGTTAATTTTCCTTATTCTCAATTCACACAAAATGGGAAAAGATTGTACGTGAATCTTCAATTTCTTCCCCTTTCCTTCACACACACACATTCTACGTCTTGAGAAGGGAAAATTTAATTAAAGCCAAACTTAGAAGAATTCCCGTAAAGTAGAGGAAAATGCTAAGAAAATTCCCCACTCCCCTTGACGCCTTGCCCAGAAAGTCACCGAAGAGAAAGTGTTAACCCCTATTTTTTATGGGTGGCCAAATTTAGAAAATTGTCAAGAGAAAGTTAAATTTACGAGCGACACATTAAATAAAAAGGGGGCGCGCGCGCGCACCCATAATAAATGCAATAAAATGGGCATCACGAGGCAATTGCATATATGCAATTACTCGAGGATTCCTTCCTGTTCTCATTAATTTGCTAAGATGCTTTTAATGAGATTCGCTGCTATGAGCGCACACGGATCAAGAGGGCCGCCGCCGAAGAAAGAATTCTCCTCCAATTTCCTCACCCACGGAGGGAATTGCTTAAAGAGATTTCCTGACCCACTCTCTCTCTCTCTCTTCTTCATGCCATTTTCTCCTTTTATGGACCCTTCTGTGACGGGCCTCGCTCGCCCTGGGAAATGGCCAATAAACACGAAGGGATGTTTTAATATGTAGGTTATTCGTGCGAATTGCAAATGGGTTCTGCATGGGAAAACTGTTGATTGGAAATGCACTTTGTCATCATTGAATTATCCCTGTTGCACAAAACGAGATTATTCTCTTATAGAGAATGTGCAGAACTTCTTTCCAATTAATTTGCAATTAAATTGCAACTGACAGTTTTCTGCAGTATCCAATTTATTTTTCTGCATTGATTATACTTTTAATGGACTTTCATAGTCACTGTTTATGAATGGGCGGGGCATTCGAGTGGGCGTGGATCAGTATTCCGTGCACAGTGGAAAGGATGTGATAAGCAAACGCCAAGGCTACCTTATAGGTCAGCCCAGCGAAGCAATCAACACAAAATGTTGGAAATGTCTCAATCGAGACTATCAAAATTTTATCAGTGACACTAGCGCCCCTGGAAGTAGTCAGACGAACTTCTATTGTTAAAGACAGTTGTAGATTTTTGCTAGAGCTTTCCAGCGAGCGATTTCAAGATTTCAAAAATCATTTTTTCGACTTTAGCGCCCCTTGCGTAGGATTACCAAGTTATGATGTTTAGATGAAAGAAGCTAGAAGTCTAGAAACAGCAAAAAGCACAGCATTTTCTCACCTGTAATCTTCGGTCTCGAAGGTGTGCAGCGGACAAGCGGAGTAGCAGCGATTCTCATAGATGACTAAGTGATGATCACAGCTGGAGCAGAAATCAGGGCGATCTTGACATGAGGCACAATTCGCCTCACATGGAACGCACGTGTTGTTCTCGTAATCTGCAATGGCAGTGTTTTGGCATCAGTAAAGGAGAAGTGCACAAAAACCGGGCATTTAATGAATCGCGCGTCGCGTTGCTGTCTTTCACGCAAATCGTGTAATGAATTTTTCTGTCTCTGCTGCATTTTTTCCTGGCTTTTTTTTGCTCTTCTCCCTTCAAACTGTGTCACATTGAGTCGCACAGAAGGGAGAAATGCTCAGGGAAAAAAAGACACTTGCAGAACAGCAGACGTTGATTTGAGAGCAATTTTAGATGGTTTCAGAGCACCTGGAGCGATGCATGCTGTTTTGCAGATTGCATCGTGCACTTTGCATTGTGTTTCGAGAGGAGGCAAAATTACATGTGTGAAGTCACTGTGGCACTCTTGACTTACTTTCGTAGTAGCCTTCGGGGCAGCTCTGCAAGCACACGGCCAAGTCGATCACGTGCAAGTGCGCCGGGGCGCACGTCAGGCAGCTGTCCTGGCCGGCTCCGGCGCAGGTTTCGCAGGACTCGTGGCACGGCCAGCACACGCCGCCCTGATTGGGGAAGCTCCGCGGCGGACAGCGGCTCACACAGGTGCTGCAAAGACACGCGAGACGACGTGAGAAGAGACCTTTTGCCACTGCAAATACACGTCTCGACTTGGCAATTCTCGCCATCGGATTATTACATTATAAAACACGTGAGTGGAAAGCGCAAAGAATTCTCTCAATTCCACAGTGGTTGCCAGTGAAATATGGACGTGGGGAATGCAATTTAAGTCGTCACTTTGTGGCAAACTGCGAAGACGTTCAATGTCTTTGTCTCCGGTGAAGAAGGAGAGGAAAAAGGCGTAACGCCTCGTTGCAACATTACTAATTTCGTATTTCAGTCCGTATAAAATATTAATCTGCCGTTGCAACTTTACGCTTTTTAATATATTATATTGGCGGCCGTCTGGTGGCGCTAGTGTGAAGTACAAATAAATAAATGTTGCAACATTTATTAGTAAAATCATATTTTTGACAGCTTATTAAAAATGCTATGAAAATTAAAGTTGCAACGAGGCGATAATATTATCATGCTGAAATGTTAATTGATTTTTCAACCAAATAATATACTTCTGTGGAGATGTTTCCGCTGATTTATTTCAAATTTGTTTCTGAATTTCACTTGGTTTTGATTAAATTCTCCAAAATATGTCACAATTTGAGACTATTTACAAGTCTTTCGCCTTGAACAACATTTTTTTTGCAGAACATTTGGATCTCATTCGAGCGTGAAATAAATGTCACTGAGTGACCTTATTTCGCAGCAAACAACTGTTCACACATATTGAAAACTTTTGAATCAAGAAATGTCGAGGAGATTCTTTAAAACTCAACGCCACACATCATTTTGCAATGCAAGCATTTCACATGAAGAGATTTTCCATCTTAGATAATCCCATTTTTCTATCTTATTGACGTGAAATCCTGACTTTTTCACCTTCGGCAAAACTGACAAACTCTGGCCAGCAAAATGCCAGCTTTCGTGAGTTTTAACGAGAATTGAAATGACAGTTGGAAAACTTTCACCCAGAAACTCCATTGCTGACCAGATTTCCCAGGAAAAGCCGAAAGCATGCAATTGGATTCTGGTGTCTCTCTCTCTGGACATCAATAGTGCATCAGGTGAAATTGTGTCAACTGTGAAATTTTTAAATCAATTAAAGTTTGGCGATGAAAATTAAATTGAGATGACCGAAAAACAGGGAGTGAAATTTAATTTCTGACCAATATTTCCCCGATGAAAATCAATAGAGGAGAAATTAATTTAACATGAATAGTGAAAAATTATCGATAATATCAATGTAATTAGTTGATAATTTTGTGAAATATTTTCTGTTTCAACACACATTTTATTCATCGCATTTTTAATTACGCAATGCAATAAATGCAATTTTGTTTGATGCTCTCCGAGAGAATTAATATCTCATCAAATATATTTGATATTGCCAAATGCCACGTGAATTAAACATTCGGTTATTCAATTCAACCTACTCTGTTTTACAATCCCTTCACACATTCTGCAAGTAAAATCATATTTTCCACCCCCATTCAAAGGGGGGGAAGAATTCTTTCCGCATGCATGCGCCATCCTCGAAATATTGAATGTCTTATCAACAAAGGCTGATGCCATTGTGAAAACTTCCAGTACTCTTTCTCGACGAAGGCGGAATAATTTATGAACACGCGCTGTGTGTGAAGCACAAAGAGTTGCGCGTCAACATTGTTGTCACACACATAAAAGGACGTGATAAGCGAACACTTATGATCAGCTGGGCGCCGCCAACTCGACAAACCCTGTTTTAATCGGAAAATTTCCAACCGCCATGACTCAGGTTTATAATCAATGATAAACTTCTCTTGTTTTAAAAATTTTTAGAGTTTTGCAAGAGCTTTCCAACAAGCCCAAAATCGTAACGATCGGGCAATTAGAACCGAAGTTATGGCGTATTTACAATTAAAACTTTAAATCGTCATAACTCCGGTTCTATTGCATCCACTAAGAACTATAACCTAGTTTTAGAAACATCCTGACTTGGACTACAACATACCAAAATCTCATCAGAATGCATAACAGATTTGCCGAGATACAGGCGTTCAAAGTTTTTTTTTTCAATATGGCGGCATTCGTTATGACGTCATAAACTAATGGTAAATGTAGCATACTAAAGGACGTCGAGACACGTCTTTTGGTGATGAGATGATCAAAATCGGTTAATAAACAACTGAGATATAGACCGGTAAAAGTTTAAACTTTGACCTTCCATATCTCCGCTCCCAAAACGTCAGGCCCCACAAGAAGGGTATCGTTGGAAATGTCTCGGTTTCAGCTATAACATACTAAAATTTGGGTTCAATCCATGCCATAGGGGCTGAACGATTGAGCAAAACGTTTTTTGGTTGTATTCAAAATGGCGGACGAACGGGTGAAGGGTTAGTTTTGATATCACCAAGTTCTAGCGGCAGTAGGATTCTTGACCTTTGGTGAAAACCTCATGACGATAACTCTTACCTTTTAGGCGCTACGAGTCCGTTTCCTACGGACCGACGGGCGGAAATCAGAAAAAATGACCCCCCTTTTTATCATCAGCTGTAACTTACTTGTCGAGGCGGTAGTGCTTGCAGGCGACGCACTGTGTGGGGCCCTTGCCGTAGCAGCCCTGCTGATCGCACTCCGGATCGCAGTCGTGCAGCACGACCTTGTTGTTGGCGTCCGCCATTGCGTTCTCACGCTGCGTCGTGGGGATGTTGTGGCCGCCGATTGTGATGTACGCCTTGTCTTGCGAGCTCGCGGCGCCGGCGTAGATGTTCTGGTAGTTCACATAGCCGGCATACAAGTCGGGCGCGTAGTAGTTGCCCACCAGCGGCTGATTCATGTCCGTCTCCGTGGGAAAGACGAAAGGATTCGAGATCCTCGGCAGACCGCTGCTGCGCAAGCCCTCGTTCTTCAGCCGAACCGGGTTGCTCTTCGTCCCGTAGAAGATCAGCTGCCACTTGGACAGAATGCCAGGCTGGTTCACGCGTCTTCGGCCACCATTGATGACCTATGATAGAATTTTGCGTCAGTTAATATTGCTTGTTTTGAGTCTGCGGAATAAAATCGCTCTTTTGTGATTGATTTTCACCTCTTTTTTCTTCGATTGTGTGCAAAGTGAAAAAGTCACTCACACATTTTTCAAATATGTAGCAATTTATTTGAATTAGTTTTTTCTTGACTGAGAAAAGCAATTTATTTCCTTTGTGCGCCACAAATTGATTTGCATTCACAAAATATTTAATCAAAGACTGCATTTTTACGTCGCGCACAGAAAACCTTTAAATAATTCTTGACATGGTAAAATATCTTCTTCTTCTTCTAGTTTATTGGGCAGAAAAAAACCATCTTCGAATGAAGGAAGTAAAGTTCTAAGACATTTGTATGATGGAATATTGAGAATTATTGTCTAATTTTGCAAGCAAATTGGCCAACTGAACGTGTATTCTTCGCATTTAAGGTGCTTTTGCTGTCGATTGACCATCGAGGAACTCCAGAGAGAAAGCAGAATGTCCATCCGAGAACAGATAGACAACATTCTTGGACAGATTTTGCACCAGAGAAGACAATTTTCGTGTCGATTGCTTAATTTCGTGGCTTCAAGAGCATTTGAGGCTTCAAACAAGCGCTTCAGACCAGAAAAAAAACCCTGAAATGCTTCGTGGAGGAAAAAAAGAGTCTCACTGACCTGCAGAGTCCATCTGCCTTCGGCCTTCTCGCCCCAGAAGTGGACGCTGAGGAAGGGCCAGTCGTCGAAGTTGGACTTGACGACGTCGCGCGGGCGCTCGAACAGCAGCGTGCTGGTGGTGCCCATGGGCGACGTGAGCAGGATGCGCAGGTTGCCGCGCGGGAAGAAGCGCAGCGTGATCTTGCACTGCACGTGCTCCAGGAAGCGCACCTCGTTCACCGTGCCGGCGCACCCGTTCACGTCCATGTGCGTCTGCAGCGTGTAGCCGTAGGTGCCGTCGATGGAGCGCTCCTCGTTGATCTCGCGACTCTTGCAGATGTGCTGCGGCGGCACGGTGGTCCACTGCTCGGCCACGCTCACGATGGCGCCGGCGTCCATGAGGCCATAACCGAATTTGTGGCTCACCTGCAAAAGCACGCGAAACAAGTGAGGTTCTGGGCTAATTGATGTCATTCCGTGTCATCAGCATTGCGCCCACCCACTCAAAATTGAAAGCCACCCCCAGCTTATTGACCGCTCTCTGTCATTTTCCGCCCTTGCGTGAATCCCAATTACTCCACACAGTGTATCAATGCTTTGTGGTCTGTGGCAATGCGCTCATAATTCGTCAAACACTGACTTTTTGCGAGATGATTTTTGCAAGACATTTCTCAGTGAATCATTTTCACTCACTATTTCACCATTTTTGTTCTAATCTATTTTCAGAGACGTCCTTATCGGGACTACAACATACTGAAATCTTATAAAAATGTACAGTCTAGTTGAGCACCCCTAGCGGTAGTTGTACCAAGTTATAATGTTCGAGTGAGAGATGGCATTTTACGAGACCTTTCCAATGAATACAAGATCATTCTGATCGGTTAATTAGAAGCTGAGCTATAGCAGTTTAAAGTTTCACAATTTGGACTCTAATATCTAGGGTTTGGAAGGACCTAGGTCCTTAAGTAACTATTCATTTGGAAAGGTCTTGATGTCAGCTATAACATACTAAAATTTGGACTCAATCCATACTATAGGGACTGAATAATTAAGGAAAATGTATTTTGGTGGTGTTCAAAATGGCGGACAGATGGGTGGGGGGTTTGGGAGAATGAGAGAAAATCTCTCAAATTGATTCTAAGCTCTTCAAATTGCTTCAGAGAAGAGGAAAATAAAGTGATTCTTTGCCAATTAACACAAGATTGAGGGGAAATCTTTCGCTTTTATGACTCAGTGGGCGGAGCTTAAGCGTAGGCGGAGCTTCGAAGCATCTCTCTATGACGCTATTAAAGCCTCACCATCAACGCATTGATGCATAGCCATGAAATTATTCGTATTTCATTCTATAAAAGTTGAGACAATAGTTTTCTAAATGAAATTATTATTTTCTGAAAAGTCATGTTCTGCCAAATTCACCATATAGACATTAATATATTTCATTTTCCTCTCAGGAAAACTTTCTCAAGCTCTGAAATGTCTGTCTTTCACCAGAAGAAGAAAAAAAAGGTGAAAAGAGCGAATGATGGAAGAAATGTGAATTTTGATAGTAAAACTTCAGCTCTGCGATTATGTCGAATATTTCTCCCATTCGATTGTGCAGAAAAGTTTCACGGACACGGAAAAAAAATGTATATTTTTTTTTCGGCAAAAGTTCGAGCACAAGTTCAATGATAATACAAACATGAATCATAATTAATCGGACAGTCTTTCACTATCGCTATCTGTGCAACATTTTGGATTCTGTCGAGAAATCTGCATTGCAGAAATATGCGACGAAGTTCATGTCAATTTTATGCATTCATTCACGTCTCAACTGTTTCGATAAAAAAAAAGATTCCACACAAAACAGAAGCCATATTTAATGAATTTTTGTGTGTGTGTGTGTTAAAAATAAAATAAAACACACATGCGAAAAGGTGACTTGCAATGATGGAAGGAAAAATAAAATACGGCGAGTAGGAAAGAAATGCACATAAATTATGCAATAATAACACAAAAAAAAAATTTAGTTCAAGAGCAAAAACGTGACCAAATGACGTTTTAGTCTTCATTATTCGGCCATCGAGGGGAGTTTTGTGCAAACATTAATTTATGCATTTCCTTCTCTGACTTGGCCAAAATATTGTGCAAATGATTTCTAGGCTAATTAAATTCTCTTTCATATCATTGTCCAATGCTAAGGGCAAAATTATATGCGTGCAAATGTAAATTGACCCAAATTCTCACTTGTGCATTTAATTAAGCCATTATTCCACCCCCTAAACGGGGAAAAAAGCCCAGGTGAAAAGCTCTATTCGCTGCGCTTAGAGGAGAATGGGGCAGTTTAGTTTTTTGGAATCTTCTCAGAGATTTTCACATGAATAAATTGCTAGTCTTCACACAATGTTTGTAGTCCTTAAGGTCTACAATTGACGAAAATTTGCACAGGATAGCATTTACTGTTTAGATAAAATAAGTGAAAATTGACGAGAATTTTTCTGCCGAATTGATTGTGTGTTTTCTCCATTAAAAAGGCCACAATTCGCGTGAAACACTATTATGGGATATTGAGAGTTAAGTAGAGATTCTAAATATGCCGGAACTTTTCCTCCTGATCACGGCCTTTTCAGTGCGTGGTGGAAAATGCACAAACACCGCCCACGGGGCAGATATAGATTCCATCGCGGGGCAGTTTCGTTTCACCACAAACTGACAACAGCGCGCTCTGACAGTCTGACGCAACATCACGGTCGAAATTTTCTTGTGGCAAATATTGAAGGTTTTTCACAAAATATTGCTCTGATTTGCATTGCTTTATCACGTTAATAGACTTCTTCGTTGAAAAGTGATGAAAAACACGCGAAAATCACTGATTAGAGCAGAAATTTCGAGAAGTACATTTTGCGCGGAACTTTTCGCGTCGCGTCAAGTTGCCACTAGTGACGAATGGTGGCGTTGCAATACGTGAAACATGACAGGCAACTTGATTCTCGCTCAGAACTTTTGACATTTCGTGCATGGGTCGAGAAAAGTCGCGAAAAAAGTACTTTTAAGGCGATTTTTAGGGAATTAAACAGTCTCAGTGTGAAGAGTAGAAACTAAAGTGATCATTTGCCCGCGATTCAACAATTCCACAATGGAATTGATGGTAAATAAAAGTGCATTCTAACACTGCCCCACGCCGACACGAAACATCCCCTTGTGGGGCAGTTATAGTGATATTACAATACTAATTTCATTCTTTTTTAGAGGAAAAACCATCAGTTTTAATCCCCAATGAAAGGCATTTTCTGAAGCTCAATAGACGAGAGTTTATTTAAGCGTTGTGATTATTGCAATATATTCAGCTGATTTTTCAAGAAAAAATCCTAAAATTGGAACGACATAACACTGCCCCCACTTACCCCTAATCGAATTGGTTTGGGCTGAAATTGTTACATGAAATAGACAGTGAAGCATACATTAAATCCCACAAATTGCAATATTGGACAAATCGAAAAATTATCTCTCAAATATCCAATTGATTTGCACAGCCAAAATGGTTTGAAACTTTCCTGCATTGTGCAGAGATTTCAACTCAATAAAGCGCTGTTGGGCGCCCAATTAGAGGACACAATTAAATACTCACTCTAGCAATATTCAGCTAATTCGCAGCATTTTCATCCCTTTTCGCATGTTCCCCATCAATTATTTCCACTAATTGTACTGGATGGCCAAATTTCAACCCACTCGACGCTCAGGTGTATCATTTAATCCCTTCACCGCGTCCATTGAAGTCCGCTTACAAGCTATTATGTGTTCACCTTTCACCATCAGAAGAAGCAGAGAATCATTGGCAAGCGCCACAATATAAGCAAATTAATAGCCTTATCACTCTGAATATGTAATGCAATAAATGGGAAGATTAGAGCGAAAAGATGAAGCAACAAAGTTTATGTCTTCAAAGTGTAATGAATTGCTTTTGGGGAGATGCTCCTTAACTCAAATCACAAGACGTCTGTTGGAAGAGTTTCTCGACGAGTATTTAACTTTGCCCTGACTGTTTACCTTGTTTTGTACACTTAATGCAAAGTTCAAGAGTGAATTTACATCCTAATTATTAACATGCTGGATTTTCTGAGTGGTTTATTGAATAAAAAGCATGGATTAATTAAATAGAGAGTCAAAAAATTAGAGTGAAAAAGACTCTCAGAGTTGATGATAAAATTTAACCTTTTTCTGAGAAAATTACAGCATTTCTCAGAAGAAGAAAAAAAAACCATGATAATTAGCTCATCTTAGAAAATCCTATTAAAATCCTCTTGAATGTCTTTAAGTGTGAAGGAGATCTTTTTCACCTCACGTCGGAAGTTAATTTTCTCCTGAGATGCGAATGGCAAAAATGAATTTTTTGTTAAATTGCTCATAAATTTTCATGCTTTTTTTCATGTCAAAATATTTAATTCAAATTCGACGGGTGCCTCGAAAACAATCCAAAAATTAAAATCACAATTTTTCAACGGTGCGAATTAGAAATTAAGCATTAATACAGCTGCAAAATTTGCCAAATTTACGTCAAAACCCTCAAAACACCTTCAAATCGTCCGTTAAAGTGCAAATATTGCTCTGTATTTATTATTTTGTAAATATTTTAGTTCATTTTATTGGTATTTATTGAAATTTTTGACTAAAATATGGCAAAATTAGGAGAAATTCTTAAAAAATTTCTTCCCAAAATCGATTTTTAATAGTCTCCGAGTCGATTTTATCCAAACAAGTTTTAAAAACAACTTTTCATGTTTTACTTGAATTTTTTCTTTAAGGTTTTGAAGTGAAAAAAATTAAAACAAAAATGAGAAATATTGTGGATAATTCTGAAAATCTAAAATTTTCATGGAAAAATTGTTGAATATTCGACATTTCATTCATAAATTTGTGCTTTTTAGATAAATGAGATTTTTTTACTTTTGTCTCACAATAATACAAATCTCAAAATGTTTGTACAGAAAGAACAAATAAAGAGCTTTTCCAAAACTATACATAAATCATAAACTATGATAAATCGACCGTCGATTTGCAAAGCTACAGAACTGGCCGAAGCATTAGGCATATTAGCACTAATTTCATACCTCAATTTTCCAGTTAATTATCAACTTTGATAAGCAGAGCCCATAAATGTGCTCTTATCCGAATTGCCGCCGCGCATTGCGCTTTCATATGCCGATTACGCGCCCCAGCAATTCCCCTCAAATAATGCATTCTAAATCTCCATTCATCGCGGAATATGTTCACTCTCATTTATCAAAACCAAGGGGGAGAGAATGTGGTCAGAAGTGGTGTACAGATCAGTGGAAGTATTTGCAAGTGCTTGAATATCATCAATATTATGCGTTTAAAAGTCATTTTCAAAAGGAATTCACGCAATAATTGGAGAAAAAAATTGTTCTTTGTATTTTTCTAGGTTATGTTTTTTTATTGAATTTGATTTTGCCACTAAATAACCTTCAAAATCATTCATTCTTGCACCTAAGCTGGTTTAATTTGCAATTTACTGGCGCAATAATAATGAAATCTGATGAAAATTGCGAGCTTTCAATGTAAAACTCATGTTAATTTAGCTATGATTGATCATAACCTCAAAAATACTGTTTCAAGATATAAAATTGTCTATTTTAAGAGCTGTTTGCTTGATTTTACTACTCTAAAATAGCAAATTTCTGCTCAATATCGATTGAAGTGTCTGTGGTGTACAGATTTTGGCCATACTATCTTTCCCTTGGTTCAAAACAATCGCACTCACCTTTCTCTTCACGCCGTTGAGGATCCAGCCGTTCTCCTTCTCCAGCGGCTCCGGCCGCGACGTGAGCACCACGAGATACTGCATGTCGCGCCACGTGAGCGCCGGATTGGCCTCGAGCGCCAGGGCGCAGATGCCGGCGGCCAGCGGCGCCGAGGCCGACGTGCCGGTGTGCTCGACCGTGCAGATGCGGTCCGGCCGCAGGCGGCCGTCCATGTCCACCGTGGCCACGCTCTTGTCGTGGCCCGGCGTGCCCGAGCTGTACGTGGTGGCGAGCGTGGAGGAGCACTCCTCGAGGTACCACGGCTTGTAGCCGCCCTGCGTGGCGCTGGAGATGGACAGCGTGAAGATGGAGTTCGTGTAGCCGTCGCAGTTGCACGAGTCCGTGTAGCGGCCGCCATTGCCGGACGCCCAGATGAAGATTGAGCCCTTTCCCTGTCGTCCACTCGTCACGCCGTAGATGAACGCCCGCCGCGCCAGCGGCCCCGGCCCGTCCACCGTGCTGCCGTCGTCCTCCGGGCCCCACGAGGCGCTGTAGATGTCGATGTGGTCAGGATTGAGGCCCAGCGCCTTCGCCTCCACGGCGTCATTCACGCTGCCGTCCAGCATCCGCACGCCGCCGATGCTGGCGTTGTACGCGATGCCCACGCCGCAGTAGTTGTTGAACGCCACGGCGGCCACTTCGCCGGCGCAACGCGTGCCGTGCTTGTTGTCGCCGTTGTCCTGCGGCATCGGATCTGAGTCGTTGCCGTTGATGTCATACGAGGCGTCAGGATCGTAATTGAGCGCCAAATCCGGGTGGTTCGTCTGGATGCCATCGTCGAGAATGGACACCACGACGTTCTTCCCCGTGTAGCCCTTCTGCCACGCCGGACCCACATTCATGTCCAGGCCGTCCTTCGCGCCGCCGTTCTGCAATGCCAAAGAAACACACAGAAAAGATATGAATCAGCTTCAACTAATTATAGTCAATTCTCCGGTGTTTTTCCACCGATTTTTATCATTGTTGGTGCAAATGAAAGATAATTTCATCCTCTTCAATTTTTCTTATAACACAAAAGTTCGTCCAACTCCTGCTTTTGCTGTTATTGTAGCATTTTTCATAACATTCCCAAAAAAAACGATTATCTGAGTATGGACTGTTTAAAGCGACTACAGCGCCACAAGCGTTGGTCAGACGAAGTTCACTGAGATATAAGAAATTGTAGAGAATTGAATTACCTTCCATTTGCTGAAAGGATGATTTTAATCGGTTCATAAACACCGGAGAAAAATGCATATCTTTATAAATTTGTGGGCGGAGCAAAGACATGGGCGGAGCTTGTGCAACTCCGAGAATTCACGGTTATCCTCAAATGTTGATTCTCTTTTAATAAGCAGTACATTATAAACTTTGTGGTATTTGCGTGAAAGCAAATGCAAAAGTCAATATTTCATAACATTCACATAACGTGCTTCTTTGTTCTTTCTCTTTTGCATTTATTCCAGCACTGCAAATCATACATTGTTGCTCATTTAGTGCATTTTGTACAAACTTTTTTCTGTTTCACCCCACAGAACAATTTCTGTGAAAACCACAACGACTTTTTGCAGCCACTGCGCGTCTGCACATTAACAAAATTGCTTTTCTTATTTGATTAATCTGGAGCGAAATGGATGCGCGCGAGTAAAAAAGATTCTGCGAATTGTTGTCTTTTATTTTCCCCTGGACCAACCAAAGAGCCAAAGGGTGTGGGAAGAATTTTTAATTAAACCTCCCCCCCCCCCACCCCGCCCACATTAATTAATTGATGAGGTTCTCGACAAGTTACTCTCATTCGCACTGTTGCAGCGTGGGCGTGCGATAAGGACTAATTTCATGAGTCTCTGATGTCCATTTGTCAAGGGTTTCGTTTTCCCCGTTGCCCAAAGAGTGAAATTTCAACTATCAAAGTTTGTATAAAATTTTCCCCTTCATCCCCCTCGTCTGCCGCTCAAATTTATTGACCTCTGCCGATTTTCCAGCTCATGGAGTAGCCATTCAACCATGGAGTCAGTATAATTTAAATGTCCAAGAATTCCACCCAACAATTCACTGCTCGCGCTTCGACATTTTTTTTTTCCTTCTCGAAGCATCTTTTATTTAAATTCCATGCCCAGGAAATATTGATAGCTTGAATCCAGAGAGAGAGAGAGAGAAAAAAAATGTGCATTCCATGGCGTTACATCAAGAGTGGAGGAGAATTTATAGATTGGAAACTCTTCAAAGTATCAATGTTAATTCCAAACATCCTCTTTTGAGCTATTTCTGAACACTCTTCAGTTAACATTCCCTCCTTTGTTACCTCCCTGCTCCACTTCTCTCTCTCTCTCACTCTCAACCCCCATACAGCGTTGAGAGGCGAGAGACTTTCTTATACATGGACTTCGTGAAGAGCTTTGGGGAAAATTGTAGCTCACAAACACGTGCAGATCGATGAATTCCATCGTATGAGTGTTATTGATGTCAATATCAGAGTGCATGCATTGTTTTCAGGCTTTAGTTCATGGGAAATCTTTGTCACGCAGAATGTATTTTCTTCATTCAACTTCCTCCAATTGTGTTAAACTTGTCACAGAGACTTTTTTTTCTTCTTCACAAATGAAAAACTTGTGCACACACCGGAAATTAGACTGCTAAAGTCTTCTCTGTGTGTAAGAGGAAAAAGAATGTACAAGAAGATTATACACAGCTTGCTAACGAATGCAGTGCAACGAGAGAGTGTAAGAAGCTTATTGGGAAGAATGTGGGTGAAGTTCAAAGAAAAGGCCACGCCCATTCACTTGCCCCGCCCACTGGCACCTCACATTTTGCACAGCACCAATGTGAAACACTGTGAATGATGATTTTCTATTTATGGCAAATGGAGAGGCATAAAAGTTAAGGAACTAATTTAGAATTCTCCGCCATGACTCTGTTTGTGGGAAAATTCAACGGTCAGAACGAAAATGTCTCTCGTATTGAAACTATACATATGTATGTTTAGAGTTTCCTCAATCAAAGTTTTGCTTCATTTATAAATCATTCAAAACATTGATTTCACTTGTGACACACAAAATGGTTAAGAGAACTTTCATGCTTGGGCGCAAAATGTGCAGAACGAACTTTTGGGCTGCCTAATTGTCAAATATTTGCCAATGTAATTTCTTAATAGGTGTGATTTCAGTCGTGAAGATTACACACATTGTCTCTGGGCCGAACAATTTCCTCCATGGACATCTTGCGCGGGCGGATTAGATGCATAGCAATTGGGAAAGCGAGAGAGAAGAAGGAAATCAAATGCTCTTTTAATCTATTTTCATCCCCACTTAAGGGAGATTTTTCTCCAAGTTAATCTCCTTTGAAATCATTCTGGGGCTGCCATCGTCCGTGGCGAAGGAGGAAGAAGAAGTAAAAAAAAAAGAGAAAAAGTGCTCGTGATTTGTTTTTCCCACTTATACCACTGTTGAATTTCTTTTTCTTCCTTCCAACGCCACACAAGGAGCTTCTCCACTCCTTGAGAATTTTCCCACTTCTGCCACTTTGTATTACATTTCACGCCTAGGGCAATTTCTGTATTGTTTAATTTTCAACTCAATTCACTCTCTCACTCTCTCTCTCCGCCCACTTGAGCATTTTTCACGTGATAATAGGAATTTCTGGTTGTTTTTCCTCCCCATTCCCATAATCAGATATGCATAAATTTCTATAATTGTACAGCATTGCACGCGGTGGCGTTGGGCGGAAGGAAAAGTCTCCCAAGAGAGTGTGTGTCGTGTTCCGGATATTGAAAATAGAATCATTTCAGGAGAGGATATTTTTATTTTTCCTCCCCGTGCGCCGCCGGCGCGTTCCTTTTTTTTTCCATCCTCGCCACAGGGACAAAACAAGAGCGGCAAGAGGAGGAAATTGAGTCAAAAGTACCGAGTGAAGAATTCTCAACATCCTCGGAATATTTTTCAACTCTGGCAAATTGAATTTTTACTGCGAATGTCCTCTTTTATTTTGCAAGTCGTAACTTCCACATGGTTGATTTTGGAGCGTGATTGTTTCAAGGCTCGCCAGAAATTCCCTTTCCCCCCCCCCCCCACTCTCGAGACAAAATGGGTGTTGGTGACTTCCAGGAGTGTGTTTTTCCCAGGATCTCCCGACTTATTTCTGCCATTCCCAGCGTCATTTGCATTGGGTGAAATTGTCTCGTTTGCAAATTTCAGATTGAAAAGGTAACAAAACAGAAAAGCTCGTGAAGAGACGAGAAAAGAGCTTTGATTGAAATCAATTAACAATGACAGTGAATTCTCTTGAATAAGTAACAGATTTTCTCAATGATTTCCAAGAATTCCAGGTTATTTATAATGTTATCAAGGGGGAGATAACAGGCCTTAAATCTGTACACCACTTCCAAACACTTCTAGAATCTGAAGTTTTTAGGCTATTTCCACATCAATTCTCAAATTAAAACGAATCTTTTAAGTTTCCATTCAATATTGCTGTAAAAATCAACTTAAAAACGCCATTTTTTGAACATCTTTTCCGATCATAACCTCAAAATTATCTGTTTATGATTTGCCAATTAACTCAAAGCTACCGATTAAGAGTCAAAATTGCCCAGAAAGTTTTCTAAATGAACACTTTTCAAGTTCAAATTAATATTTTTGAGGTTATATTCGACTTCAACACAATTTACAGTGTTTCTTGACATCAAATGTTGAGAAAATCACAATTTATTGTATATAAATAATTATTCGGCCAATGACTAGCGATTTCTCCGACTTAAACATAAGAATTAATGTGCTAGAATCTGTCTTTGATTTTTTACATAACCTAAAAAATAATTTTTATGATTGATTCTGCGTGAAAATCGAAGGAAATCCAAAGAAATGGGTCAATTTGTCGGTAAAAGAAGTAGTAAGGAAAGGAATATTGGAGGTTTTTCAACACTTCCACTTCTTAAGTATTTCTGCCAAAATGTACATCAATTCTGACTATATTATCTCCCCCTTGAATTTTATCTCAACTGTCGAAAAGTTGAAAGTGCTGAATTTCTTAACATTTCTCTATACATTTGAAAACGCAATATATTTATATCCATCAAGATATACATAATCAATAGAAGAAATTAATATTTAAATTTATTTATTATTAATAAGCGTCTTTCTATTTATATTCATGACTAAATAATGGCAAAAATTGCACTTTATCTGCTTTCAAAGTCTGCTTTTCAATTGAATTTTTCACATTTAAAGCTATTTACAGAAATTCCATTTCATGCAGAAGATAAACAAAGCATTTATTTACACACATATTTTGTAAAAGCATGAAAATATATTTTAATTTTGTTACATTTTCAACTCATTTGCATTCAATTCTGGAAAAAGTTCCTTCAAAAAATTCACACAATTCGCCTTTAGGGATAAAACAGACAAATTGCAATTTTAGTTATTATCCTTTGTGTGATATTGCAACTCTCATTATACTGAGAGACAGTAATTAATAACAGTTGTTAAACATAGTATGGAAAGAGTAAAACTTTGCATCAAAAGCTCGTCATTATAAATAACTACTGATTGAAGCTGTATTATGTTTTCAATACGCAGCAAAACTGTTTGATTATCAACTTCAGTGGGAGAAAAGAGAAAATTGAGTGTGTTTGAAAGCAACTGGAAATTCAATTTGAAGGCTAAAATTTCATATGATTTAAATATATATTTATTAAAATTTTCATTGCCAAGAGAGAGAGAGAGAGAGAGAGAGAGAGAGATATTAAGCTCTTTTTCTTCGTGCACTCAATTGATGTGTATTTCTGGGGCGTTTTTTTTACGGGGTATTTTCAAAGGGAGCCACAAAGTCATGGCATTTATTGGGGAAATATTTCAAAAAAAAAAAGAGAGAGAAAAAAAACATAAATTTGTACGACAGTGAAGAATTATTAGAAAAGCGAGGCGGCAGAATTTCCCTCCCAAAAAAGGCCGCTTATGAATTCACCGTCGAAATTCCCATGTGATTTCTCGGCCGCATTTGGTGTGTGCGTGGAGGCCGAAAAGTGAAAGAGAAAGTGAATTTTATCGAGCATCATCTTAGACATATGCTGAGGAGAGTGTGAGTGAGTGTGTGTTGTAAAAGTCAACAACTGACGTGATCATCAATTTAATTTGCGCTGTGAAAAAAAGCCTTCGATTGAAATTTGTGTCAATCAATTTCTCATTCAGCACCAATAAAGACATCTCATAAATTTCACAGCCATCACGCTATCAATTCTCCCCCAAATCGTCCAACACACGCGGCCCAATAGAGTGTCAAGGAAAAAAAGCGAGGAACTCACCAGGTACCACTGCTCCTTGAAGAGCGGATCCGGGAAGATGTTGTGCTGCCCAGTGTCTCTGTAGTGGATCTGCGACTCGGGGGCAATGTTCCTCAGCAGCGATGTGGACACTGTGGCTCCGGTGGTCGGAAATCTAATACTTCCGGACCCAGAAGCTCCATAATCACGTTTCTTGCGCACCTTCTCATGCTGCTGCTGAAACCATCGAACCTACAAATACACACACATGCAGAAACACAGAGAAACACATGTGAGAGATTTAATTATGAAGTAATTTCCTCATTAATCCAATTTCATTTACTACTGCGCAAGCATTCGCTGTTTATTTGCCCACTTTCAACCGCCGGAATAATTAGTCAAATTAAATGCACTCCCAGAATTCATATTTTATCGCCGCAGAAAATTCTAATAATCGCTCAATAGCTCGCACACAAGTCAATTCTGTGTCTCTGCTGTGAATTTTGCCCAATTAACACTGAGATTTTGCCAATTTGGCTCTCTTTTTAACACAATTTTCGACTAGAGATCGATTATTTTGACTAAAAGCCCAAATTATTCCACTAAAATTTACTCTAATAGGGAAAAAAGTATGAAAACAGTTTCATAATGTCATAGAAATACATAGAAAATTACAGATTATTTTCAATTTATCTGGAAAAATATGTTCTATTCGACAAAAAGAGTGAGAAAAGCTATAAATTTATACTTTGAAGACCTTTTAAATACCGAGACGTTGAAGCTGAAGTTGTCCAACAAAATGCTTTTAGTATCTTTTTTTTTATTATTATTTTGAGTGAGAAAAGCTATTTTTTATTTTTATAAATAAAATCGTATTTTTAACTCAAGGGGGAGATATTATGGTCAGAAGTGGTGTACAACTCAACGAAAGTACTTAAGAAGTGAAAGTGCTTAAATTTTTTTTCAATATATTGCGTTCAAAAGTAACTTTCACAAGGAATTAACAACATAATTAGAGAAAAAGAATTGTTCTTCACATTTTTCTAGGTTATGTTATGAATTAAAGGCACATTTTTCCACTAAATAACCTTCAAAATCATACATTTTTGTGCCTAATCTGGGTTTCATTTGCATTTTACTGGCACAATATTAATGAAAACTGCTAAAAATTGCAAGTTTTCAATGTTAGACTGTTTTAATTAAGCTAAGATTGATCATAACCTCTAAAATACTGTTTCAAGATATAAAATTGTCTATTTCAAGAGTTGTTTGATAGATTTTCTACTTTAAAATGGCAAATTTCAGCTCATTGTCGAAGTTCTTTACAAGGATTCTTCTAGATCTTTATGAATAATTTTTAGGTTATGATCCAAAGTGCATCCAAAAGAGTGACTGAAAATTTAATAACAATAAAATATTCACTGAAAACTTCAAATAATTCAGAAATTCTGTTTCTCTGTAAGTTTTCAGGGTCATAGAATTGAAACTGGCGTCTTTTTAGGCAAAAGACTCCTAAATTTGAGGTTATGATGCTTTAGGCGGTTGGAAAAAAAGTATGAAGTTCCGTAAATCGTTAGAAAAATATGGAAAACACATGTTAAAGCACCGGAAAACTTCTAGAAATGTCTGTGATTTTCTCTTGGAAATTGTTGTTAGTGACAGAAAGTGATGTACAAAGTTTAGTCATATTATCTCTCCCTTGATTTTGTCTTTGCTGACTTTTTGAGAACTTCATGTCCTTCGATATTCACAAGAATTCTTCTCTGCTTCCAAGGAACACTTCAATTGCCCACAATTTACTCTCAATCTCACCATATTCTTCCCAATTAAGAGAGAACTTTCTCTAAAATATTCTCAAAGTATATGAAAAATGCTTCAGCAACTTCTCCATTAACACCTCGGCGGCACTTCAAAATTGTAAAGCACCGCAGTTAAGACACGGTCGTCGTGCAGTTCAATGAGGAAAGCTTAAGACTCTGCACGAGACTGTTGTGCAGCATGAAAGACTATTGAAGTTCTGGAGATTGAAAGAGCCAGTATTAATGAGAAAATTTCTCAACAATCTCAGCCTCGAGCTGGGAAGTTTGTGCTGGGCTAGAAACGCAGCAAGAGCATAGAAGAAAGTGAGAATTATTCTCCTCCCGTAATTCTATTTATTCTGCATATTCAGCACACTTCAAACTTCGTTACGTTATGGTTGTGACATTTTCTATGAGCGTCTTGTGTGCAAAACTTGGCAAAATTTGCCTTCTCAGACGACAAAGTCTTAGAAAAGATGGACGACATTTAAAATCAACTTAGCAGAGAAGCGATGATGTGCATTGATTGACTGCTGGGAAAACACCGAAATCGTTAATTAATCTGACTCTGCACGATTGTTTACTCCCAAGGGGGAGATAATATGCCTTAAACCTGTACAACACTTCCAAACACTTCTGAATTTGTCTCACACTTTTTAAGCTTAAATTATAATGAATTTCTTAAATTTCCATTCAAAATTTCCGTAAGAATCGACTTAAAAACACATTTTGGGCGGTCTTTTCCGACCATAACCTCAAAATATTACAAAGAGATCTTCAAAAACTCCGTTTTGAAGCATTCTAGATCATAATAATGTCAGTATGATTTGCCAGTGATTTTAAAATTACTAATTCAGACACAAAATCATCCAGAGAGATTTCTAAATAGATATTTTTCAATTCCACCTCAATATTTTTGAGGTTATGTTCGAGTTCAATACAATTTGCAGTGTTTCTTGGCGTCAAAGGTTCAGAAAAGGACTTTTTATTGCATATAAATGTCTAATTCTGCCAATGATTGGCGATCTTTCGGACTTCAGCATAAGAATTGATCACAAATCTGTTCATAATACGTTACATAACCTAGAAAAAAATATTTTTATTATTGATTTTGCAGGAAAATCGAAGGAAATCCAAAGAATTAAGATAATGTGGCGGTAAAATACCGTCTCAGGGAAGAAATATTCTAAGCTTTTGAATACTTTCACTTCTTAAGTACTTCTACTGAGCTGTACACCACTTCTGACTATATTATCTCCCCCTTGGTTTAAACTATTGTTACAGCAGTTCGTCAGATGTGAAATGCGAATTCTCGTGAATAGAAGTGGTCGTATTTCGTTAAAATTGATTTGACACATATTCAAAAGCTTCTAATAAAGTGCCAGAGCTTTGAATTCCACTTGATTACAAATATCCCAAATATTTCTCGCTAGAGTTCTCCCCAGAATTATACTCGGAACTGACATTTTCTCATGCACAAACTTTATGGCCATTTAATCAGAAAGTGACGATGAATTCTGTGTGCCACAAATACTTCACGCGATGAACACCTCATTCACACTGCGAGCGGTGGTGAATTAAAATTTTGGTCAGTGAGTGAATGAAAGTGAAATAACACTCCGCATAGCATTTGCAACTTTGAACATTGTTACACTTTTGCGTGTATTTCCAACATTGTGTATTTCCCATGTTTGCAGACGTCCGGGAATTTCACAGTCAAAACCATCCACGTTTTCCCATTCTTCTGCGAAAGTTTTTATATACCCATCGTCATCGTTATGCATTGTTGTGTTTTGAGAATAGCGTTGCAGATTACGAAATATTGCAATGTGAAAATTTGAACTCCACGACAAAATATCATCAGAAGGTCTCACATGACAGCGGCAATTAGCGGAACTAAGTGGGACTCAAGTCCATCAGCCACTGAGCAATAAATGTTGTCAAGTTGTTGCATATGTTTCGGAGAGAATTAAATGGTTAGAATTCGAGGAGCAAAGAGAAATACTTGAGAAAATGGGCGGAGCGATCGTGTGGGCGTGGCTTCTACTTATTCCAATAATGTCTAAGAGCGCTCTCGCTTATCCTCTCGTGGATCACCCGTAAGTCTGTAATCGCTCTAAGATATCTTCGGAATTGGTTCTCACAAATTTTGATGCAAATTAATTTTCTGTGTCTCAAATTCGCGAAATTTTAAGACCTTCTGCCCATGAATTTGAAGAAATTCATTGAGATTTTCTGCATTTCCCCTCAAAACATATGCAACAACCGAAATAATTGCAGCTCAACTTCATAGTTACCGAACAGCGAATTCCGCTTAGCATTTTACCGTGACTAGTTTTGTGCATTTGCTCACCTCGGGTTCGGAACTGAGTGCCTCGTGGTGGCTGTCGCTGGTGGCGGTGGATCTCTTGGAGATGCGGTGGTGGTGGAAGTGGTAGTAGTCCCTCAGGCTGCCGATCTGGCCCATGTTGGTGAAGCCATGCTTGCCGGCTATCCTGTTGACCGCCCCCTCGTCGCCGCCGGGAATGTAAACGGCGAACTCATTCTGGTAAATTGGCGTTCGCCTCGCGCGCGGCAATCTTCTCTGATCGCCATCTTCGGCTGTGGCGATGTGCAGGAGGAGCAGAAGCACTGAGGACAATCTCGCACTGCTCATTGGCACCAACATTTTCTCACCCCCTGAATTTTTTTTCACTTTGTGTCCCAAACTTCTGTCTCTCAATCACTTCACCGCCAATTTGGCGCACTTTTGCAGAGAATAATCGTGTGTATTTACAATTTTTGCCACATAATTCACAAAATTCACAAAACAATATTTCACTCACTATTTTGAAACACCCTTTAAGTGCGAATTTATATGCTTCTATCGCACGGTTTCATTCTTCACCATAAATTTCGCCTCTCTTTTTTTTCTTTCTTCTCCTTCAACAAGAAAATTCTCCTTGCAATTTCCCTCTTGGAACACCACTTTGCCTCAATTGCCTCCCTCCTCTTGCCTCCTCCTCATCTACCAATTATATCACAAAGTTATGGAGCCTAGCACCTTGTAGATACACCTGTGGAAGAGAAGAAGAGCCGCTTCAGACTAAATGCACAACATATTTTCCCTGCGCTGTGCGAAGGAAACCTTATCTGACAGGAAAAGCGCACTCGTCACTTGTGAGAGGCCAAAGATTGACTCCTTTGATACACCCTCCGAAAGGGGGTGTGAGGGCACATTCTCTCGTTCATCGACGCTGTGCGAATTGTTTGGGGCTGATTTTACTCGATACTTTCCACATTAACTCTTTACTGACTATTGTAAGTCGAAAGTACAAGTTTTAGTTACAGTTATGACGTGTTTAGAGAGTAAATTTTCAATGTATTTCAGTTAAACTTGTAGATTTATTAACTCGAAGAAATATAAGTCGTTGCAACATTACAGATTTCGTATTTCAATTCGTAAAAGATACAAATTTGGGTTGAAACTTTATGCTAATATTGGTTACCGCTTTGTGGCGCTAGTGTGCCAATCAAGATACGAATAAAATACGAACAAGAAGGCGTAGCAATGCGAAGTTGAGAGTTTATTTAATACGAATTTCAGCTGTCAAAATGTCCTTTCAATTCATTTCACGAAAATTTTCTGGTTTTTCGTTGTCTTTTTGCGATGAAATACATGAATTGACTTCAAGTGTCAATTTTCGTAAATGTTATGAATCTCAATCTTGCAATTCATATTTTTGACAGCATATTTAAAATGTTATGAAAGTAATTGTTGCAACGACTCGTGAATTTGGAAACTTTAGAAAGATAAATTCATCAATTCTTCTCGTCATATAAAATACTATAGAAAAATCACAACATTTTCAGCTGTGGAAGGCAAGACGGCTTCCTTTTGCCACTCTTTCTCCTCACTCATGAATGGTGGGCAAAAATACGGAAGAGTGTTCAGTAACCTATTGACTAAAAGCCATATTAGCAGCACATTGTATTAACATTTAATTCCCAGAAGAGCACTTTCAATTTGTATAGCTTCACTGGTGGAGTAATTAATACTCAATACGCTCAATTTCCTCTGGGGCTTCGTTAAACTCTTTGACGCTTATGAAATTTTATAATGTGCTTTGCACAAAAAAAAACTAATATTAACAGCTGAAAAGCTGTTCGGCGCTGAACATTGTTGAACAGAAGAAGACGCAGCGAAAGCACTTTCGCACTTTTTCAGCCATTGATCCATGGTTTAAAACACGACTAACTTTTAATTATGAATTTTACATAGCATTAATTCAACTCTTTTTTCTCACTCTTTCCCTTGCAAAAAGCCTTCAATACTCGTCGCTGTTGCGCTAAATTATTCAATTGCATCGCTGCCATGGATAAAAATGATTTAAGATAGTGAAAACTTTTCTCGATGCGAGAATACATTTTTGCTGCTTTGCAAGAGTGAAGTTTTTTCCATCTCTTCTCCACAGTGTGCTGAAGAATTACCAAGTCTGTTAGCATTTTGTGTGTTCGCTCACACCATTAAATACAGCTTCTGTATTAAATGCTAATCCAAAATTAAACAGGTCGCGAGCCTTCTTTTCTTCTCAGTGCGAAATGCCCATATTTTAGCGTGTCTTTTTGTACGAAAAATTCTCGTTGAGGTCATTCAATGTCTTAAGATGGCTAAAATGAAAATTTATGATAAAACTCAAGTGACTAATTAGACACGGATGAATGCATGCAGACAAGAAGGTTATTCGGAAGATTTTCCCACTTTGCGCAGAAAAGCTCTTGATGGGAAAATAACTTCTCCACATTAAATTCAATGGAAGTTAATGGTAATTAATCTTCAAGTTTCATTTGATTTCTCAGCATAAATCTTCATCGCTTTATTTAATTTTTCCTTTGCATAATACATTTTTGTCATCGAAATTTGAATTTCAAAATCAACTTTTGAAGCTCTCAATGCGCACTTTTTTTTCTGATAGCCAATCAAAAAGCACACTTTTCATCCCCGAACAGACACTCAATTTTCCCTCTCATCCGCCAACATCTCCTCTAGCATGCTGAAAGGGTTAAAAAGTGCTTGAAAGTGAGCTTCCGTCACATGTTTGACTTCCAATTAACGTTACACCAAAAATTTTTTCCCCTGGCGAAGGACAAAGTGTTGGTGCAAAAGACATCAAATCGCTAAAAGTCAGCTCTATTTCGGCATCGGCAAAAAAAAACCAGCCATTCGCATTGCAAAAGAGTGGCGCACAAAGAGCAAATTCAGCTTGGTTGGAGGAACACATTGGAAAGAGCGCGATCCCGCCTTTTTTTTGTATTGCAAAACGCCAATTTGACTATAAGGTGAGGACACAAAAAGAGCCGAAGCACTCCATGACCTTCCAAAAGAGCTTAAGCTTGTTACCCGGGATAAGAGGAAGTGTGCTTGAGAGCCGAAAAATATTGAGTTTCTTCACTAATTAGACGGCTTTTACGGAATTGTTGCAGAACAGAGGAAAAAACTGGCTGAAAATGCGACTTTTGATCCCGTAAAAATTTACTTAGGCATGATTTGTCACGGGTTTTTAATCTAGTTTGAGGTTGTTTTTCTTTTGTAGTTTTCACAAAAAAACAAGGGGGAGATAATATGTCTGAAATCTGTACACTTCCAGACATTTCAGAATGCCATAGAAGACATTTTTCAACTGTTTTCATCATTCATTTTTGACTTATCACAAATCTAATCAAAGTTTTTCAATCTCAAGAAGTTTGAAGCTCGTCAAAAGCATAGATTTCAGATAGTATGAACTGATCTTAATGTCTCAAGATTTGTTTATGAACATTTTCTCGTTTTCATTCTCTAGTTTTGTCTTCGCAAAATACTTTAGAGAAATTCTAACAAAATTGTGAGATTATGAATCCGATTTAAAAAAAATTCTTCTTAGATTAATTTTTATCCTCTAAAACCCCAAAAAGATGTAAATATAACGAATATGAAGTGTTTCTGCTTGATAATAAAGCATAAACACATAACATTTTTGAGGTTATGATTGGATTTTAGGGTTTTTATTAACCAAGAAGAAGTTTTTTTTCGATCAAAAAGACTAAAATCTCCTAAGAAAAAGAGAAATATTTTTAACTTAAACATAAATTTGATAATTTTAAGGGTTATTTTTCGCCAGAATCAATTTTAAATCAATCACATAAACTGGAAAATCAATAAAATTGATTTTCCTAAGCAAAATAATATATAAAATGTCTCAATTTGTTGAAACAGACGCTTTTTGCAATGCAAATTCAATTCTTAACACTTCCACAGAAAGCTGTACACCACTTCCGACCACAATATCTGCCCCTTGTCACAAATGGATAGATAAATGAAGGTTAAGAGATAATTCAATCGATAATAAGAAACCACTTGAAAGAATAAGAATTATAAGAATGACTGGGAATTCAATAAAAGCTCTCTTTCCAACTCTTTATCTTTTTGCAAAGTCATTGCTTTGAACAGTAAATTAGCAGTCGTTTAACCCTGTAAGGTCGTATGGAACATGTTTATCCAACAGAAGATTGCTTTTGAGAGCTCAAAAATATTATTATTTGATTAGTAGATGAATTTTCAATGAAAGTTTCAGTGTTCTATGATTCAATATAGTAATTAGGACACGCCTCTCGCAATGCTCCGCCCCTTTCCACTGCTTTAGCGGGTCAATTTTCAATATCCGCTCACAAACAACCAAGTGAAAAGTGGATTTTACAATAGTAAAGCATAATTCTATGCTTACTCGATATGGCTGTAAATGACTTCATCAGATAGAAATTCACTTCGATAATTACATCAAACGAATCCATTGATTTGCAAGCACATATCACTGACACTCGCAATATTTGATATGCCAAAGAGACAGTGTTGCGAATAATCATTAAAATTTGCAATTGCAATCTGACCATGCGTTGCCCATGAGAATCATAAAAAATTCACCCATGCTGTTTGCAGAAATAACCAGCAAAAAAAAAGAGTTCACAATGAAAAATTTATTTGTATTGTAAATTAGTATTTTTAGTATAGTTATTTCAGAAAGGGTGTGAGAGATAATATAATGCAAAAGCGAAATTGAGCAATTTTTTCTGCATATTCTCCTCCCGTTCAGACTTTATATACACATATATCTGTGTGTGTGTTTTTTTTTACCCACTGAAACAATGCCTTTGTGTTGTGTTTTTGTAAAAAAAAAAAAGAATGTTTGTTTATTTGTTTAATGAAAATTTTACTCTGTGATTTTTGCAATTCAATTCATTTCCACTGCGTATTTTCCACATTCTCACTTTGGACCACTTTTCCTCTCAACTCTTTTCCTCCGCAAAAGCCTGTCTAAATATTTATGTATAATTTTTTTTTCTGTACAGTTTTTCTTCTATTGCAGTATTGAGTGTGTGTGTGTGTTTTCGCGCTGGCACTCGCCAAAGAACTGCGCGCTCGCGAGAATAATTGACACTTGCAATAATATTAAATGAAAATAACCGCAAATTTATATATATCAATGGAATTCCCCGGGCATTTTTAGTTAACCAGAAAAACACAAAACTCGTGGAAATCCCCTTTTCAAAAAAACACACACACACACACAAAACAGGCACAAAAAGCAGATCTCATGTAATCAGTTGTGGTTCTGAAATGTGTTTCAAAAAATATTACGTAATTAATGCGGTGGTTTTTCAATTCACACGAGAAAAAGAGGTTTAATTTAATCGTTTTACAAAATTCTGGTTGAAAATTCGACTTTTATTGAGTGTACAAATACATATGTATGTAGTTATCGAACGGAAACATTAAAGGGATAAATAAATCTGTTGGAAATTATGTACATCATTTGACAGAGCATTTAAACAACATACAGTCGTGAAAATTTGATTAGGACACCTTTTCCTTTTGGTGCTAAAAATGATCAAAATGATCCAGAAATTCCACTCAACGATGGATTATACGATTTTTTTTTTATTTTAAAAATTGAAATATCGCCATGATTTCTACGCCATTTGAAAGATTATTAAATTCCGATCACTTGTTGTCTTATGCAAAATATCTCTAAAATTGAAAGAA